TAACATATGGGCTTTAACACAGGGTTAAGACAGAGTTTGAGAGCTATTTAGTTTAATCAACTGTTTTGAACAAAATAAGATATTTTTTTTATCAAATTATGGAAAGAATAAAACGTGTGTTTTTTTAACACTTTCTTTTCCATTATCTTGTTACATCATTCAACTCTTTCTTTGATATGGGCTATAGGACTGCACTATTAAGTCAAGCGGCAACCCTCTGGTGTTGCAGTTCGTCAAGGGTCCGCTTGAGGCTGGCTCCAAGAGCCCCGGAATTTACATACACACCACAGCCAAAAAAGCCAGTTAATACAGTAACATGTTTACAGCCCGGTAAATGCCTGATGAGCCTCCGGAGCCCCCGGCATTCACTCTCAGGCTTCGTCCATTAATATTTACAGCATGAATTAATTGCAATATAATCACTATCACGATATGAGCATATGCAGTAAACACATCTCAAAAGTCTAGATTTATAGTAATACGTGAGAAAATAAATGTTTTTTTTAAATGTTTTTTTTGGTTCTTTTTGGGCCTTTATTTAAAGATAGGACAGTGCAGTCAGAAATCAGGGGGAGAGAGAGTGAGGAATGACATGTGGAACAGGATTACACTCAGGGTTACAGCAACACACTATAGTGTGTCAGTGTAAGTAAAACAAGTAAAGTAAAACAATATGTAATTAACAGGTTTATCTTGAAACATCAGCTGTGATTGAGCATTTCAATCTGTCTAACTTATCTAGTGGTTTTTTGTCTTGTTCACACTCTTCATACACACTACCTACTACCAATACTACATTTTTTATTTTTTTTATTTAAAGATTTATTTTGGGGCTTTTTTGTGCCTTTAATGCAGAGAGAGGACAGTGTTGGAACAGAGTCGGAAACCAGGGAGAGAGAGCGGGGAATAACATGCAGAGGGGGGCCACGGGTGGAAGCGAACCTGGGCCTACCGCTCGAGATGAGAGTCTCAGCACATGGGACGTTCGCCCTGCCACCAGCGCGCCCCCCCCCAATACTACATTTTTAAACAAACAACTGTTATAGCTATAAAGTGTTAACAGGTTAGGTATATGATACTAATTGTTAAATGAGTGAAATTTGGCATAACTTGGAACTATGATAGTTGGCAAATAAGAAAGGAAAAGTAAGATTACAAAAAGGACACAAACACTTATTTTTAACTGTCCTGACATAAATATGAGGAACTGACTTGATACATGAAACTCTTGGTATCAGTGAGATTAAGGCTGCACAGAGAGTTACATAAGCAGTCTGAAGAAGAGGGAGCTGGCACCCTACATGAATCACAAGGTAATAAGTCAGCTGTCAGGGGTTGACACTGCTGCTCCTTAGGATGGTACTGTATGGAAGTCAATCTGCCACACAGGGGATACTGCCTCAATGTTGGTCTATTTTTAAATACATATCAGTCTGTGAAAACACATGACTGAAGATTTAAGATGCCACATACACACACACACACACACACACACACACACACACACACACACACACACACACACACACACACACACACACACACACACACACACACACACACACACACACACACACACACACACACACACACACACACACACACACACACTATAACATGCCTGAACATGACTGAAACACTCTTCTCTCTTTTCATAAGGACATTATGGCCAACCTCAGGCTTCTACTGAACATAAAAAATAGCCCTGTAGCATTGTCGGTGCTGCTTTTTAGCATGTTCCCTTTAGCTTAAGCATCAAGCAACACTACTGAACTAAACAAATGTATACAAAAAGTAACTTAACAATCACAAAGACCAATGCCAAACTGTGCACAATCCCAATCAATGTTGCAAGTACATGCCTGTGTTGATTAAAACAATATATAAAACTCCTGCTGGCTTCCTGCTATTTGTTGCTAACATTAGCCCAAGGCACACACCACATGACAAGTAGGCCTATGGATTAGGCCTACTTGTAGCTCTAGCTCTTGACGCTTACTTACAATATTAATGCAGATTCTTCATCATCGTCCTTTTATCACCCAGATAGTCCTCCATGTTTGGCATATCCTCCCTTAGCAATTAAAACCCTACTTAGCAGTCTATGAACAGTGCCACCTAACTTGGTCCTCTCTCTCTTCTTCTTCATGGTTTTCTTGGTCTCTACATAAACTGCTTTCAGCATGACAATTTTTAAGGACAAATGTTGAAAATAAATGATTCATAAAATGATCTCTTTCTGTCTCCTTTACTTTTAATATTGACTAGATGAAAAAAATATAAAAAGTAATATTCTATTTTCGAACTTTTATTTTGAAGGACTGTTAAAAAAATGACGTGTAATTTCCAGGTGTGTCTGGTTGACCATAGGGTTTGAGCGGGTTTGACGCAGGTGAGCGAGCTCGGTCTGGTGACGTCATTTGAGGGAAACGCGGAACCAATCTGGCCGGAAGAAGAGGAGTGACTGATCTTCATCATAAACTTCGTGTGTAGATGTGTTTACTTTTTTTTTTTTTTTGCTGCTGTGAATGACCGACCTCTTTTCTTGTAAGTAATCCCGTTTACTGTTTCTGATTCACAGAAGAAACATATCCTCGTGATTTGAGTAAGTAGCTGAGCCGGGGGGAAAAAAATCAGAAACGGAAATGAATTTGGACTTGAGTTTCTTATTTCTAGAGAAACTGAGCACGTTAGTTAAATAACACAGATGATTAATTTAAGGTCATTTAGAAACTAACACGTTGGAAGTTTCAAAGCTGTTCTTTTGCTTTTGTTCTCACTTGGAAACTTAACAGACATTTAAATACTGACCCATCTGTTTGGTTTAAGGTCTACCGTAGAAATAAAGACATGTATTTATTATTTTAGTCAGCGTCACCCCAGTGAGTTTCATGCAGTCATGTCCCCGTCTCTCACGCAACCAACACTTGACACACAGCAATACTGACTGTGGCGATTGTTACACGCGGTATGTGATGAGTGAAACTGGACATTATGAACCACTACACACTGAAATATAACATTATTACATTACCGAAAGTAAAGCACATATCATTTATTTTAAGGTGCTTGTCCTTAAGGGGTTTCCACTGATGGAACACTTTTAATATAATATATTGCAGAGGCTAGTTTATTTTTACCTTGCATCAATAATCACCTCTTTTGATTCCACAAGTCTGTCAAATGTAAGAGCTTTAATGATACTACAATAAAATCCCCCTTACACATTTGTTTTAGTACTGTAATGGATGTACATGCTTTTTCCTCTGCTGATGATGAGGCATTTTACATCTAATATACAATTAAAAAGTTACATTCCTTTTAATGTACCTTTAACAAGAAGGGTAACTAACTCAAACACCTGTCATGTCTTCTTCTATAGGAGTATGTTTTGTGTTGTTTTTATTGTGTTTCATATGTGCTTCTAGATGTTCAATATTGTTGTTCCGTTGTTAGTGTGTTTTACGTTTTGCTGTCCATGCTTTTGTTTGCCCTACTAAGAGTACAGTATTGCTGCTCTGTCATAACTTGTATGTCTATTGTCATTCACCTGCCCACAGACTAGTTGAAAATTAGCCATGATGGCTAAGCTGGTGCATTACAGAAATGTTATGGATGGGTATTGTCCCTGTAACTTTAAACTGTATAAATAAAGATACAGAGCGCTGTACTTTTATCTTCTGTCCTTTTCAACCTTTTCTGTCACACGTAGATCTCAATTCCTTGAAATTCCATGTTATCACATCAGTTCAAATGATCCTCATTCAGGAAGTTTTGAGAAAAGGGGGGCATAGTGTGAGTGAAAAAGTATTTACAGTCAAATATTTCTGAATGTTCAAAATAGGGTCTTTGACTTTAAAGATAGAGCCTGACTTTCTCGCTTTCAATTGGTGAAACACACTCTCATGTGAGTGTTGGCGTGGTTCCTTTTTATGCTAAAATATTTCACTTCCTCTTTTCAACAGCAACTTCCTTGAGTTGGACGTTTTCCAGGGCAGTTTTTCCGATCGTAAATCGAGCATTATTTCCATTGCTCTACCTGGAAACAAACAGGGGGACAGTAAATGTGTTTTGATTACAATTTACATTTTGAGATGGGATGCTTGATCAAGGTAGAGGAGACTGGACAGGAGAAAACCCTGCACCCTGCTGTGAAATGTGACATGGAGTCCTGAATTCTCCAAAGGGGTAAGTAAATGAGTTCCAAATACACATAACTCTGGACTTTGATCTACTCATTACTCATACATTTGAGTTTTATGTCAACAAAATAAGTCAGTAAATAAAGCCTTAAGCGTTTTTCATCTAGAATTCCCATCATTATGGATATGACTTTAAGAAAATGTTTAGACCTGTTTGAAAACTAAAAAATATATCTGGGCTGTAACTAAATAATTCAAATCTGAAATTGGAAAATGTTGTCTTATTAGTAGAGTTTATAGGGAGGCTCATGATATCAGTATATTAACATGTTTAAAAACTTGAACAGATATGTGCAGGAAATGCAAATGCTTCAATAAGGGGTATTAGAGATGGTTAAATGATATCTTGAACATAAAATGTGGTTACAAGCATTACAGCCACACTTCCTATGAGCAGCAGTATTGGCCTGTTAGTTGATCAGTCCACCACTTTGGTCATCTAAACGTTGATTTCTCAAGAATTATAGGATAGCTTGGAAGGACATTTTGCAAAGATATTAATGTTTTTAGTGCTTCGGAGTAGAAAATCTTCACATTGTTTGGATACATTTATATGAAATATTCAACAGAAAGTAAAAGTTCTACAAAAAAATAATATTGAATAACTTTGGTTTCCACCGCAACTTGTTTGGTTCTTATTGGCAAAGATGCTAGCTGAAAAATGAGGGCATGGAACCTTGTTTTGTCATTTTAAAGGAGTAAGTTAATGTAACTCTGACACATAGTGTTTAAAATGGGCATTGCAGTCGAAATTCAAAACCTAGGAGAGATCTGTCAACCCCCCCCCCCCCCGCCCCCCGAACATCCCCTCCTCCCTAGAGTAGATGTGCACACTGGTTGCCATGTCCCGGACACTGAAGCTTCAGTGCTTAGCGAGCTCTACCTTGGTCGTGAAATCTTTCTGCGTTCTATCCTCCTTCCAATATATATCCTAGTTTTAGCACATTTCTTGGAGCTTATTAGAAATGAAGAGGCTTTTTAGGGTGGGTAGAACCAGTTATATCTGAACCATTTTACTTGCCCACTTCCGTCCCTGCAACACATGTCGGTTTGCCGTTTGCCTGGCAAACCGAAGGGAGTGCAAAACGGCATTGTGGGGGTGCCTTACCGCCTACCTTCTCTGGTCAAAACAAATACAGAGCATTCCAGACCGGAATTAAAACTTGGAGGGGGGGGGGCAAACCGGCTGCTGCATTGTTGTCAGAGAAGCCAGCACTTCAACATAGCATGTTTCCAAAATGTCTAATGATATAGTAAAATAATTTTATGATTTAATTCAGTAGATATCTTACATCTGGCCTGTTCAACTGGTGGCCCAGGGGCCAACTCCGGCCCACGGATGACATCAGACTGGCCCGCGGGTCAGTTCTATTTACAATTAAAACATAAATAAATTATAAACAGGGGGAACACTTGTGAATGACTGTCATTGTTGCCACAGTGTTAATAACAGCAGAGCATTCCCGTTTAATAGAACATCTTTGGTCCTCTGCTCGCGAACGGCTTTGGCTGTGGTGTACTTGCTTGTCTGGCCGCCGGGTCCTTAGCTTTCTGAAAGTTTGGCCCCCTGAACAATGTAGTTGAATAGCCCTGTCTTACATATTTCTACTTTAAGCATGTTGATATTAGCATGTTGCTGAAACCATTGCTGCTACATCTTTGAAGAGCTTCTAGCATGACTTGTTGTCCTTCATAACATATCCACCTTTTGCATTTGATGTGTGTACCATACAGCTCATTGTGATTCCCTCAGTCGGCTGCAGATCTCCGAGCTGCTGAGATGGAGGAAGCGTACAGTGAGCTGTACCAGCAGTTTCTTCGCTTGAGGTCACTCTGCCTGAGACAGGCCGCTCTGTTACATCAACTCACAGCTTCTCAACAGAGTCCACAAGGTACATATTGTGAAATACTATCGTAATTCCAATTCCAATAAATATGCATCAGCTCATATTTCATAAACAATTACAAAACTATATCTCTGTAGGCGTCCCTGTTCCTCATAGAGAGAGTGATATGATGTCCATCCCTATCCAGTGCAGCCAAGAAATCCCTGTCTGTCTCCATGAAAAGCCTCAACAGCATGCAGTCACAGCACACAACTCTGCAGCTCAGTGCTACATCAATGAACCCTCTAGAAATGTGGAGAATTTCCCCGATCTTCTTGCTGGAGATATGTTCAAGCTCTGTTTGGATTTGCCTCCTCAAAGAAAGGAAGATGATAACTTCGAACAAAAGGTCTCACCCCTGTTAAGCGAGGACTCCACAAGGTGGCAGGGAGCCTCTTCATGTGTCTCAACAAATCTGAGTCAAACAGATGGTTTCGGTAGAGACATGACGATGCACACTGCAGCAGTAGGTGTCTTTGGTTACAAGCTCACCAGTCTGTCCTCGAATGATTTTCACCATATTTTTCTTAACAAAACTTCCCCACTTGTCTTCCATGATTGTCTCAGATGCCTGTGTCAGCAGGTCCTACCCTGGCTGGTGACTTCCTATGTCCGTCTAGCGGGATGCTGATGTCAGACGTAGCGCTTCAGTCTCATGTTTGCGAGTTCTGCCAGGCGGTTTTCCCCGGAGACACAACCACCAAAGGGGATTTTCTGAAACATCTTTACACCCATGTCACCTAAACCGATCTGAGCTTTTCCTCGACATGAGTTTTGTGTTCTTAAAGATATTTTGTGATGGATCAGGTACTACTGCTAACCTGATCTCTAAACAAAGCAAAGATGACCAGTACTTCATAAAGCTTCTGTTTGCCTTTGGTAGAACTGAGAAGATGCTGGCGACATTTTCATAATGACACATGTAAAATGAAAGTTGGAATTAGGCTTCATACAGTAGCTACCTCACAAAAAAACATGTTTTTACACTTACAGTTATGGAACTACATGTAGCCAAAATATTTTATTCTTATATCTTTTACTGTGATTTATGCCCAGTTTGGGTTAGCCAGATGTATGATATAATTAGGGATCACTGGATCACACTTTACAGTCCAAACACCTGTTGCTCTGTCAGTTTTTGTAGGGCTATTATATTTGTAGATAGTAATGTAAACCTAAATCAATCCAGACCTCGTAAAAACACACCGTTATTTCCTTGACACTACTGTCAGTCATGCTATGTATGTGTAGACCACCACATATTCCATCTTTACTTAATATCTACTGACCAGGATCCTCCCCAGATGTATAAATGTAACCCCTAACCACAGCCGAATACACAGCCTTGTCAAATGTACTGCTGTCTGCTTTGGTGACAAAAAAAAAAGGAGCTCTGCAACTTGAGATTTTTTTAAGAGCATCTCGATTATGATTTCTTCAGATTGAAATCCCTTAAAAAACTCTGTCAAAATCATCATCAACACCAGCTGCTCACAGCATGCAACTGAGAAGTTAGAGTTGAAATTTGAATGCTCAAGCTAATGATCCTTGAAGAATATTTTAATATTTAATTTTAGAAAATAAAGTTTCGGTTTTCAATGAATGGTCCTCCTGCTGCCATCTGATCATCTTGAAAGATACACAAAGAAGTAAATCACTGATGGTGTACTGCTGATTGATGATGTTGTCAAACTAACTGCAGATCAAAAAATCCCATTAGAGAAAAAAGACTTAGATGTATTGTTTCTACATATTAAAAAAGGTAAAAGCTACTTTAGTTAGCTACTAGTTTTACTTTAGGCTCAAACATGAATGTTAACTTAACTAGGACGTGGCTAAATGCTAAGGTTAGCAGTAGCTAAGGGGTTATTTGTTTTAACCCATAAGGTCCGTTGTGTCACCGGATTTTCAGTATCCAGTTTTACTTTGTCATCAATCGGGAAGCTCTGAAATGAAAACAATTGCTCAGATTTGTAAAAAAACAGACATCCATGTCACCTCTCGCACTCTTTAAGTGTAATTTAATGACAGCAATGTCTACAGTGTAGCCATGTTAGCAACATACAGACAGCAGTGCTTTGAGCTGAATCCTAATGTCAGCTAGCCCAGTCCCTAGGATAATATTAACATGCTGATGTACGTATAATGTTTACTAGCTTAGCTTATTTTAGCTTGTTAGCAATCGAATATTAGCTTATCAGTGATAAGCTGGTAAACAAAAACAAAACTGTGGCTGGTTTGAGTGTCATTAGCTTTGCAGGTAATTGTTAATTCATGAAACTGGGTCTGGTATTCAAACAGACTGTAGCCTATGTTAATTATGTGAACAAACTGAAACTGCTGTGAGATTAACTATGTTATTGATCGTTTTCAACTTTAAAACTGAATTCTGATTTTGTGTGTGTGTGTGTGTGTGTGTGTGTGTGTGTGTGTGTGTGTGTGTGTGTGTGTGTGTGTGTGTGTGTGTGTGTGTGTGTGTGTGTGTGTGTGTGTGTGTGTGTGTGTGTGTGTGTGTGTGTGTGTGTGTGTGTGTGTGTGTGTGTGTGTGTGTGTGTGTGTGTGTGTGTGTGTGTGTGTGTGTGTGTGTGTGAGCACTGGTACAGGTGAGTCATGCCTCTGTGCGGAGTGTCAGTGCTTATAAACAAGACGACAGCAGAGGTGTTGCTAGTTTTGTGACGCAGCTTCCACACATCAGAGAACATCCAAGAAAAAATAAATTCTTGTGGAAAATAAATGCAACACACAGTGACTTTAAGAAATAAAATAACATTTATTGAGATGTAACAAAATAAATAATCTTTTTTGCAACATAAACTGAGTAGGTTACTAATGCTCAAGTGACAGGCATGTGTGAGTGATGCACAGCAAGCTACCTCACTGATATACTTATTAAGTATACCAAAATCACAACATTTTTAACCATATTCAACAAGAAATGTGTCATTGGATGAAGTCAGTGTGCAACTTTTGAAACTATTCTGGCCCATGACTTAATTTTGTGAACCTTTGCATGTTTTTGTCTTCAATTTGAAAGATTATTCCCCCTAATTTGCCAGGTCAGAATAACTGTCTAATAATGTGATTCATAAAAGGGTTACCTATAGTTAATTATTAAAAATAAATCATCCCAGTGACAAACTACATTTTAAAAATCTATACTTACAGATTTTCAGAAGGTTTCTTTGAAAATCCTTTCTTGAAATTTGGAAAACATTTTCCCCTAATGCTGAATAATGGTGTTTCTTTGCAAAAAAAAAAGAAGAAAATGTAAACATTGAGAGGGAAGAGCATGACCTCCTTGTCAAAGTGTCCTTGATTTAAACACTGCCACTGAGCCAGAAACCTGATGTCAATGCTGCAAGAGGCAACTGAGAAATAAACTCCACTAAGCATCACTTTTCTTATTTCATGCTGTTGAGTATCAAAAAGGTGTTCTCAATAGATTTTCACATCATTTAAGAAAATGAAAAGGCTCATCTCTTACAAACGCCACACCAGCTGCTTTTGAAAAACATGATAACAGAAAGATGTCAGAGAGGGGTTCAATAAGTCCCATGGCGTTATATCTCATAAACCTCAGCATGTCTCCTTAAATCTGCTTTACCAGTCCGCATTGACTTTAGTTTTCTTTAGCTTTGAACCATAATGAATATCAAACTCTTCAAGATCAGATCAGTTCATCCATTTGTTCCTGAGAGTGAGGAGCTGCTTCAGGATGTTATTACACTGCTTTTATCTGGGCACTGACTAAAAAAAAAAGAATAGAAAAGGTTCCAACAAAACCAAACTTACTTTACATAACTACAGTAAGTAACTGAAGTGAGTTATGATAGTTAATTTCCGAAGTTGCAGTGCCCCCTGCTGTGTAGAGCCAAATTCACTTTCAACAAATGGCCCTTTGAAAAAAAAAAACCTGATAAAACCTTGGGTACATGTTGTCTGTGTATTTAGAAAAATGTAAAAAATATCTCCTCTAAATTTTTACTGGATAAATTGTCTAACCAAACATTATGAATCAGTGCTTGGTAATCACTAAAGTTTTATGAATTAACCAGTCAGCCATAAATTCTGAAATTTACCATAATGATTTTTTAAATAAATAAGAGTCCAGATGTAAGTGATGCAGGTATACACGGAAAACCTGCCCAGTAACAGCCCAAATTGCGTACTGATGGTGTTCATTGGCAGGAAGAGAGCACAAGTTTCTTGACGATTTCATTTCCCTCGGTGATTAGAGTCTTCTTTTGTGATGCAGGGACTACCGCTCCTACATGCTGTTATCGAGCTCCGCCTCTCCACTTTAACCTCAAGGTCTGTGGAGAAAAGTCACATTTAAGGATGATTGGACATTTTACTCAGTAGCTCCTTTAATAACAAATCCTAAAGAACCAGTGAAGCCTCAAGACTGTGGCATTTTAGGTCATGAATTAATCTAAATGTCTGTAACACCCAAAACATCTACCATGAGCTGTCAACTTTAAATGTAAAAGACACTTTGAGTTTAATTAATTTACTTAATATTATGAATGCAAAATGCACAGCTCTGGAAGATCAGACAGCAAAGCCAAAGGATGAATATGAGTTAAGTCACAGTAATCAAGAAAAAACAACAGTTTTGACCTTTGAAAAAATAGTTTGGGGAATTCAGCAAGAAACTCTCCCACATGGAGTGAAGTCATCATGACAAATCCAAGCTGTTTAATATCTGATTAAGTCAACCAAGCGAGTGAACAAGACACATCAAATAAATCAAATGTTGATATTCATTGTGTATTTTTACAAAGACAGTCACCTGTGATGAGGATTCATTTGCTTGCCAGACAGAATATAGATTCCCGTGTAAATAAGTAGTACTTAAAGAGTCAAAAAATATCAATTTCTTGAATTACTATTCATTTATTTATTGCTTATCAAGGAATCCTTGGTGTCCATTTGTGTTAACAGAGGCATACTGTAATAAAACATGATGTCTTTGTGTTAAAGAAAAATGTGATAGCGCATATTCAGCAACATACATGGAGAGATACAAGTGGTAAGATTTGTCACATGTGCTTTTTTATTAACCAGAGGAGGTTGAGATATGGCACAAAACGGTGACGTAGACAGGAAGTGAGAGAAAGTTCTGATTAATGAGACGAGGGAAACTTGGTTGAGTGAGAGAGAAAAAAAACAAAGTGATGGAGATCAACGTCAGAGATGAAACATATGTCATTTTTTGTTGTTTCCACAGTCCTTTCGACGGAGGGAGAAGATGTAGAAAAAAGACTGTGCCATTTCCCTGCCCACAGGTTTTTATTTTTGTACACTGTCGCTTGGTGAGTCAATGCAACACCCCTCCAATTACCTCCCACTCTCTCGCCCCCACGCCCCATCCATCCCGCCCTTCAGCCCACACACCTAACACACTCTGACGTCAGTCAGAGCTGAGAGGGGGGGCTCCGATTCTGCCGCCCACAGAGTACTTCCTATGCCCCCCCCCCCCTCCTCCCCGCCCCCTCATGTCTTTGCTGGCTTCCTTCTCGCTTCATCTCTCTGGCTTGCTATCACAGCCCAGAACGACTAACTTGCTCAGATGACTCCCTTTTTGTTCTTTCTTGTGAGAAGCTGTGATGAATAATAAAAAAATGCTACGCTAACAGGGCATTGAGGAAGTGCTGTAACAGTGTAACACCCCCCTCCTCCTCTTCTTCTCAACCCTCCCTCTTGCACTCCTTTCCTCTCCATATATCGCTCTCCACCTCCTTCTGCTTCCCCTGCTAACTTCTCTCGTCTCTAATTTGCAGTCTGGTGAAGTTCAGCTTTGCATGGTGGGCGGCGTCACTGAGTCTGACTCACTAGAGTTCAAACTCGAGAGCTATGAAGTTTTTATTGTTAGGAGAGGTTAGGGAGTCTCTGTCTGTCCCCAGACATCAACCTCATCTCTTTTGATTACCACCTATCATTTAAATGTTAATAATTTGTTAGATATTTTGGGACATATGGATATCTTCTTTGTTGGTAAGAAGGAGAGGAGGAGATTGACACCACTCTAATGTTTGTTTGTTGAAAAATCTTAACGTCAGCAGTTGGTTAGCTTAGCAGAAAGACTTGAAGCAGAGGGAAACTGCTAGCCTGTTTCCATCTGAAACTAAGACAATCACAACACCAGCACCTCTAAAGCTCCATGATTAACACATTATAACTTGTTTGTTGAATACTCACAGAAGTGAAAAGCAGCTTCCAGACAGAAAATAGTCCAGCACATACTCCTGTGCAAATAGTTTTTTCAATTTATTTTTTTTCACAAAGAAAAAAAAAAAAAAACATACAAAAAACCAACCCTAAATATGTGAGTTTACAGGTGCTAATAAGAGTATTGTTTAACCATTGCACAGGCCACATTAGCAGGTGCTGGCTACGAGTCTATATCTACAGTTCAAAACGGAGACTGGTATCAGCATTTTCAGCTAACTCAGACAGAAAATTTAAATATTTTGGGGGAAAAAAATGAAATGTTCTTCTAACCAAAACAAAAATGTGCAACATTTTAAAATAGACTTTTATTTTGTGTCTATTATTGAGCACATATTATTAAGTCATTATTGGAAAAGTCACCTGTAGAGTGAGTTCCTTCTGATCCTATGATGAGCTTGCCAGCCCGATCATGTGACACCAACCGTGCCAATCGCAGCCCTTCATCCATTAGCGTTTGTTGTATGAGATGGCGACTCCAGTTGGCAGGGTTAGAGGTATCGGAGTGGGGCCTGGGGGACGGAGACTGGTTGCACTGGGAGCCGATGTCTGAAATGGACAGACAGAACTGGGTGTAAATGGTGTTTTGAAACGGTAAGGTCTTATAGACACAAAGATCTGAAGTGTTTTACCATGTGAGACACTGTCGAGGCTTTCTGTGGATAAGCTGTCATCATCTGCCCTCTGGGTCATGCCCTCTGAGCCGTCCACTCCGAGGAGAGATGACACACTCTCAGGCACAATGACCTAAAACACATCATTGTCATTTCAGTGATGAACCACTTCACATAACTTACAAGTGACCTGAACTTTAGCTATGTTTACACATAAGGTCAGGTGTTAGAATCACACATTCATCAATAAGAAGTCCCTGCTGGTGAGAGAAATCACCTCATGTTTCGCTCTCTTCAGGAGCAGGACGTTGTTCTCATCTGCATTTGTCCTGCAGGAGGAAAACAAACAGTCAATTTAACATCAGAGTCCATGTTTGAGCTTGCAAATAAGGAATTTTAAAATAATAAATCCTGGCTCAGGGTCTGCAAAAGTTTTTTTTAAGTAGTTAGAAATAATGGGCAATAATTTAAGATTTTCATTTATGATGTGTTGTATGTTTTTGTATTTATTGCAGTGACTGACAAGAATACAACTTTTATTTAGCCTAATTGATCTGTATTTTTTTTTTTTTTTACTATAGATGCCCAATAAACAATGGATTTCTTACAATTATTTATGTCCAAATATGTAATGTTTTCTGAATGCCATGTGGGAAATGTATGTATTTGGTCGGATTTATTTATGAATTATTTGACTTTGCGTTTTCTCATAATAATATTTTTTTTTTTTTTTATGGCAGGAGTAACAGTCATACATTTTAGAAAAAAGTATTTTTGGCTTCAGTAAATATTTTTGATTGTGCTGTGTTTCTCTCATTTATTTTATTTTTACCATTGAATATATTTTGTTATATTTCATTCTGAGAAGTCAAACCTCATCTGGCAATGGGACTGCCAATGAAGCCTTGTACAGCCTTGTAAACTCTGGTAATTTAACATTTGTCTAAGTGTTGATTAATCTCAAAGACATTAATTAAAAAAATATATTTTAAAGGAACATTTTGATTAGAAACTGGTGACATTTACTCTATTAGTAATTACATGAAGATATTTTTAGTACCTTGACAAACATTCAGGCTATTTCTGAGTTGTGTGAGTCTGATGTTAGATCAGAATACTACGGCCACAGAGGAAAGAGCTTGATGCCAGCTGTGATCTGAGCCCGGTTCATTAAGAAAATAAAAGAGTTTGAGGCAAGAGGATTCATATAAAAGACTAGGTGTAGAATGTGATATATGCAACAAGCACTCTGAAATGATTGCATTTATCTTACATGTGGCTTATTATAACATGATGCTTCTCTATGGACAGATGTTTCTCATGAGATGGGAGAGCAATCAAGACACAGCAGGTGCTGGTTTCTGGTGATGCGATCACTCTGAGTTATGGATGGCTCCCCTACCTTGCATGCTTGAGTGTGGAGGTGTAAGCACATTTTCTTGCCACCTGCCGAGCCAAAGAAAAGAGCTCCACCCGTCTCAGCAGTAGGGCATTGTCGCGCATACAGAACTGGGCTGCAGCTTCATTGATGATTAACTGCGGAGGAAAAGCTCTGAGTAAAGGAGGGGTAATACAATAAAGACATTGCAGACTTTATGTAAATTATGTATACTCATGCCTGATCTTTGTTCTTGTCTTTGGTGCTTTTACCTCATGATGTGTAAGCTGCTTCCCTTCTCTCCTCTTGGAGTCAAAGCGTCCGTAGATGAGACTGTACTTCCTAATTTCTTCTTCTTTGTTGACATCCTGGGAGCCCATTTTGAAGATGTGACCCACAGTTTTTGCCATCTTCTTGTTCATCCGGAGCAGAGTCTTCACCTCTGTAGGATCTGACCTTGGCAGTGTCCTGAGAAGCCTATCCACACTCTCCACCACCGCCCTTGCAGTCTCTCCATCCAACTGTCCTCCGGGCCAGGCTGACAGGGCTGTCGAGTTGAAAGATGCAGAGGGGATTGGAGATATGCAGGGACCCAGGGGACACTGTGGGCTAGGCGGCTCCTCCTCTACTCCAGAGGCAGAAGCCAAGCTGTAGTTCCCATCAGGCTCTGGGCTGAGCCAGTGTGGATCCATGGGGGACAGTTTTTCTCTGTAGTGTGTGTCTGGTGGCTGTGGGGACGCCTGGGAGCAGGGGCTTCTTGGGCTGCCACTGTGCATTGGAGTAAGACAAGCCCGGTCCTCCCTCTCACACGGAGACCCGGGCTGCCCATTGCTCACAGACTTCCTGGGCCCGCCTGCTGGTCCACTTCCTGTCCCTTCCACTTTGAACAGTGGGATGCCCCCCAGAGGAACATTAGAGACGGGCTGGCTGAAGAGGGCAGGGTTGGCAGCCCAGTCTCTGAGGGCCTTTTGCAGCCTACGCACATGAAGTGGCTTGGTGGCCATGCCAACTAGTGCCATGATCTCCAGGAACTCCTCCTCTGCCGCCTCGCAGAGCTGCTGCACATCGTCACCGCCCTGTTGGATGAAGGTTTCATAATAGGCTAGCAGGTTGGCCCTCTGCAGCACCCGATACAGCTGCAGCTCCCCAAGTGTGCGTGGCAAAGACATGACACAAAGCTCTAGAAAGTTTAGGAGGGAGAAAGAAAACACATGAGATTGCAGGTGGGGAATCCTTCCCGATTATTAATACAAGGAAATATTTTTAAATCTGGACAACACCTAAGCCTGCTGTCTACACCTTGTCCACATTCTTCTATATTGATGAAGCACAATTAAACAAAGAGATGCATGTAGGAAATGTAGGCATGCCTTCAAGCAGAAAAGTTCCTCATATAGCATACTTAATATTTTGTCCCTTTTAAACATTCTTCCCATTGAAGCAATTTTGACTTTGATGTATGAGTATACAAAACCATGTCTTACCTTTTCGAGGTCAGGTAGGCGAATGGGTACAGAGGGGACCTGCGTAATCACTGAAAGGTGTCTCCAGCCACGCGATGTCACAGCATAGGTCGGTGCTCGCGGAGTGAAACTAATCAAGAAATAAAAACTAATGTCGGACAAAAAGACAAACAGACAAACGTACGTAACATCCAGACTCCACTAAAGTACAAACACTTTGATTATTGTTGTGTGTTCTTTCAGATAAAGGCATCGACTGAAGACGAGCACACATAATCCTGAGCCAGATGTGAGCAGAAAATCGCCCTCTAAAAACACATCACAGTGGGTTTCTTAATCGTTTCTTACCCTGTTGCCTTTTCCGAAAGCTTCCCCTGCTCAAAGTGGCGTAGTAGATCCCCTTTGCGTATCGTAGCTCGTCTGAAATCACTGGCAGAAATCCTCCTCCGGCGCACCGTATTGGTTGCTGGCTGCCCTGTCTGTGTGGGCTGGAGAATGACGGGGGCGGACTGCAGCACGCCATCTGACCGAAAAAGAGCCTTCCTCTCCCGGTAGAGAGGCGGCTTTCAAATTGGAGATGTGGGTGGTGGTGGTGGTATTGGTGGGGGCTTGAAGTTTACCCTCTGCGTCTCTAAGATTAGTCTTTTATGCAGAGGCTTTGGGGGGGGTTCCCACACTTTTGCCTTGTCAAAGACCACTTAAGAAATAGGCTAGTCTGCACACCGACAATATGTCTGAAACAGAGCTTAACAGATGTGACACAAGTGGAAATGATTGCTATGCCTTTTTAAATAGATAGGAGGTGGTCGGTCGTTCATTATAGCCTACATCTGCTTTTTTTTAGTGCTGATTTCACAGCATTTGTAAACTTAAAGGCACAGTTCAAAAAGCTCAAATCACCAAACATCAGCCGATTTGGAGTTTTGTCTGGACATTAAATACTTTAAAATCTCAACATCTCTGCCCAAGCACATTCAATATCTGAGACCTTTTTTTTTTATAGCCTATACAATTTGTTTTTACATGGTGTGCACTTAAAGGCCTATATGAATCACACAATAGACATCCGTGTGCATCTTTAATTTGGGTTCCTGATGATATTTTCACTAGTGAACAAAACAATATTCAATACTTTTGTGTTTTAAAATAATCATTGTGCCATAGACTTACGCCAACAACCACACTAATGACTGCATGCGTGGTATTTATATGCCACTTTTTCCTTATTTGAACTGATTATTAGACCCTGCTTGTTGAATGTAACCTATTATAAAATTAAGAATCATCATTACTCAAACTATGTGACTTTGACAAAATCACATGAAAAAAGGTTGATACAGACACTTTTGACAATAAAGAATCCTCTTGAGGGGTAGGGATTGGATAGAGAGCCCGAGTTGAAAAAAGGGGAATAATGCAGATTTGTATTGCATAGAGTTTCACACGATTATACAATTATTGCTGTATTAAGGGAAATACATTACCAATTGTTAGTCCTGCTTTACATTCAAATCAGTGGGTGGGAGTAGGGCTATTCAATGTTTTCTTTTTAACATTTCGCGAAAAACAAAGAAGAGGCATGTAGAGGCATTCCTTCTTTTCACTTTGACCTATGCAAATAACAATAATGTGCATTAAGAATTAAACAACTCATAAACCAGTCCTTTTTACAAGGAAAATAAAAATAAATAATATGAGTAAAAATTACAATATGGTAATGTACTTTGGTACTTAAATACATACAGTTACACATCCTTCTCATACTCCTGTAACAGAGAAAAGAGAAAGAAATTATACTGGGCAACTTTATATTAAAGTCGACTAATTAAAGCCAATCAACTAGAGCATGGTTCTTGTGATTTATAGCCTGCTTAGCAAATGCTTTCTTCACTTAAATAGATTTGAATTGTCGAATTTTTACAAAGCAATGTAAGGTTCTCTCTCAATTCAATAATTTTACTCCATACATTGAAACGTATCTTTGTTTTAGAATCTAAATATGTTATATTTGATATCAAGAAAAGGAGTACACTTTGATGAGGGAGTATTGGGAAAAAAACGAAAAATAATGTTGTATAAATGTAAGAAGGTGATACATATAGGTAATGTGTTCCCTCTCTGGGTGTACATATTATATATCAATAGGATTACTTTGTCTACAAATTGAAGCACTTTGAAGTACTACCAAGACTGGCCTGGGAGAGGCGCAATGCACTGCAAGGCATCTTGACTGCAGGAAAAACCCAAAGAGGAAGAAGAAGAAAAGAAGCAGCAGTAGAAGAAGAAGAAGACGAAGAAGAAGAAGAAGAAGTGGCTAAAAAAAACAACACGGGCACTTGGCTGTCTGTGAACAAATAAGGTTACACAATTATCTGAGAGGTATAAATGGCATCTAGTTTGTTTAAATGCAAAATGCAGATTAATTCTAATGCTTTACTTAAATCGTCGGCTGGTAAAAACATGCATTAGGTTAGTCGTGAAAGCCCACAGGAAGGAGAGACTGCCGTCTATACTAACCTTAGCATGACCAGCTAACTACAGCTTTCAGCTAACTTGACTACTCATTTGGTTGTTTGCAGTTGGAATATGTTTACAGTTGATGTGCTGTGTCATAGTTTTGGTGTAAGACCTTATTCAGTCGACTATTGCGAGGTGAGCTTTCTTTTGGAGAGCTAATTTTAGTCCCTGTAGCGCCTGTCTGTCATTCTGTTGGCTGCTTCCTCATGCTAACACACTTGCTGTCAGCTAGCATTAGCCGCCTTAAAACATCTGGTTTTGTCAGTGTTTACATCTCAAGTACTCTGTTTAGCTGTGAAACGGACAAGGATGGTGCTTTTCTGTGTTTGTGTTGGTCGCTTTTTGTTGGTGTCCTGAAGATCAGTCCGCGTTGAGATCCACTTTGTCCCTGTTTATCAGACTGAGCCATACAACAACAAAGCTATGTTATTGAATGTGAACTATGTTGCTGTACGTCCTTTATCAAAGTGAGTTTTGTAATCTCATTTAACTATTGCGTACTTTAAAAAGACTAGACACATAAGGACATGCATGTGCAGTAAATGTAAGTTAATCATTAATGAATTGCATTACTAATTTGTTCTCAGCCCATTCCTTTATTCAGCTTGTTTTGATATGCAGTCATGGTGGAACATATAGCTTCAGATGAACTCCTCTTGACAGTACAGGTAGCAGCATGTGAAAGGTAAAAATATGACATTTTCATGATCGCTAAATCCATTGTATTTTTTTTTCTCTTAGAAATTCAGAACACGTGTAAATGTGTCTGTTATGAAAGGTATTGCTGTCTCATGTTGTCTAGATTAAAGTCCAGGCCTTTAGATAATCAGTTTATTAAGATCCAAAGACAAAAAAGAAGGAGACAGTGTTTTTTTTAATTTATGGCAGTATTTATCAGATTTGTTCACTTGGCAATACTATATCTGTTGATTAACCGCTCAGTTAATTGGGTTGCACTTTCCAATCTTCTGCACTTTTGAGAGTAGCAGTATAGATTTATTAAGTTTTTTATTTTGGCATGTTTTATTTCACATCTATCCTTTAATCTGTACAGCTTTATATACACTGTATGCAAGAGACACTGTAAGTGTGTTGAAATGTTGCCACCATTGTGTAACAGATGTGAATATATTAAAAAGTAGCTGATTTAGTTCCTGTGACGTATTAATACAAGTTGTGTACTATAAATGGCTGCTGATAATGAAACATAAAACAACTTCCCTTTTAAATTCTAGCTACTTACTATGGGTGTTACCCTGGTATTTTAAACTCTATGTTTTACTTTTTCAGGTAACCCCCCGACACATGATGTAAGGAGAATAAAAACCTTTTGACACCTGGAAGCAGCTGCTGACATGATGGACCTGAGACTGGCCCTAAGGAATCCCCAGCCTCACATTTTTATAAGAGCCTGGGGAAAATGTTGCTGATTATGGATCTAGGATATTCTCTTCAATGAGATTGACATTTCACAAAACCTCAATCAAACAGCTGTAAGGAACATGGAAAAAGAGGCAGCTCTGCAGGAGGTGGGTGGAGTGATGGATGCTGAGGAGGAGATCCCTGATGGAGGATCCACTTCAGGGACAAACTCTAGCCAGTGTGAGGCCAGAGATGATGACCTTGAGCAGGAGGATAAAACAGCCTATCTCAAATCTCAGGACACCTCAAATGCAGCCACTCCCGATGACGCTGGAGTTGCAGAAGCAGAGTATTGTGGATCTACAGAGGCCAAAGAGGATACTGAGGAGGCCTCAGACGGGTTTGATCATGACAGCAGCGCAGATCACGAGAACTTGCATGTTATAAATCAAGAAGAGGATGAAGCTGCAAAGGAGCAACATATGAATGGGGAGTCTGGTTGGAGGACAGGATCTGGAAGGAGATTTAAACTAAGAAGCACCGGCTCATTTTCAGAGCAGAGCAGTCAAAGTGCTTTTTCCTCATTTCAGCGAGAGAGAGTCATGTCAGGTGGAGGAAGACACAAGCAGACCCGCAGGCGCAATCACCACCACCATCAGCAGAGCCGAGCTCGGCGACGAACAAGCAACCAACTCTTCTTGGCTTTCAAGGACATGCTGTCAGAGTTTGTGAGCTTCTGGTGTATCTCCTGCGTCCACATGATGATTGAGATTATTGTCACATTAACTCACAACTGTGGAGTCGGTGTGGAGACTGGAGGTATAAAACTTTACAACTTTGGGCAGCAGCTTGTTGGAAAGATGACGGATATAGCAGGAATGAAGGCGGATGCTAGTCGGTTTGTGAAATGGACAACAAGCACAGGAACAGACATGGCTGATAAAATTGTGAGGTCTGCAAATAGGGTAAAAACGGCTGCCTTATCTTGTATGAGACTTTTCTATGTTTTGTTTATTCTCAGTTCCCAGTGGGCAAAGGGTGTGTTTGTCCGGCTCACTGGAGAGAGGGGAAAGCGGTATTGGACAGCTTTACAGGAATCAAGGTTTTGGAAGAGGGTGTTATCCCTGCTGGAGAGGGTTCGCAGCAGGTTTAGAAGGGATGGACATGTACCGCTTTCGAGTCCTGAATCACCAGGCAGAGCGGGGAGAAGTCAGCCAGGCCAGGAGCTGGAGAGATTGTTGGCCTTAGCTGAGGTACCTGAAGACGAGCTAGACCCCTTTACAGTTTTAGGTGTGGAGGTGCATGCCACTGAAGCCGAGCTGAAGAAGGCATACAGACAGCTGGCTGTCCAGGTATGTGTAAAGCTCCTGTGGCTGAGGGAAAAATACAGCTGATAAATGCCTGAATTAATGACTAATGTACAACATCTGAGGCTGATTGTTTCTGGTTTACTCATGCAACCTTTTCCCTTGTCCTTTCTCTCTCAGGTGCATCCAGACAAGAATAAACACCCACGAGCTGGAGAGGCGTTCAAAGTACTGAGGGCTGCCTGGGATATTGTCAGTAACCCAGAGACACGACGAGAGTATGAGCTGTGAGTAGGGTCATACAATTTTTAAATTGTACAGCAAAGTCAACCTCAAATGAAGTAATTTCTTCTAAAATTTTAAATTGTAAAAAGTGATACAAAGAAATTGACTGAAAGTTTCTTCTGTTTTAGGGTTAACACCTTTTTCTTCTAAACATATTCTGTTAATCTTGGACGGTGTAGTGTAATTGTGCAGGGATTTGGAGTGTGTTTCATGCCATAGGCCTGTTTTGTTATATATATACATATCACTAACTGGTCTGCTCCTTCCCACTCAGGAAACGCATGGCAGCAACTGAGCTCTCCAAGTCCATGAATGAGTTTCTCACTAAACTGCAGGATGACCTGAAGGAAGCCATGAACACCATGATGTGCACAAAGTGTGAAGGCAAACACAAGTATGTCCTTACACAACCCGCATGACACACTGAACCAATGCACAACATCTGCTCAGACTGCAGTGAAACACGCAGCTGAATCCTGTTACGTAGCAGACCCTAACCACAGTCCCGATTTGGCTCATGTTTGTGTGCAGGCGGTTTGAGATGGATCGTGAACCTGCAGAGGCCCGTTTCTGTGCTGAATGCAACCATTGCCATAGCGCTGAGGAAGGGGACCTGTGGGCCGAGTCCAGCATGTTGGGCCTCCGTATCACATACTTCGCCTTTATGGATGGCAAGGTGTATGATATAACAGGTGAATGTCAGATTATATTCAGGTTGTTCATTCTGTAGTTTGCATGAGTTCATTTATCTCCAGTGTCCTCCTTCCTGCTCATGGAGTGTAATCGCAGGTCAAAGAAAAGCTCAGTCATGTACCTACTGTGATGATGTAATGTTTCAGAGTGGGCTGGCTGCCAAAGGATAAGCATCTCCCCTGACACACACCGTGTGCCCTACCACATCTCCTTTGGTTCAAAAAACAACAGCAGCTCTACACGAAACAGGTATGTCCCTTCAAGTGGAAACAGGTTGTTATGGCAACCAGATGACCTCCTGTTGTCATTCTTTTGTTCACATATTTGAAGTGTAAATGATCCCATCCTCCTCTGACTAAGTCAGTCCTATATTTGGCCTTGTTATATATTGAACCAAAAACAGATTCATTGATAGTTTTAGAGTGAATATTGCAGTATGGAATTTTTCAATTACTGTCACAAAGCTAAGGACACAATACAAAAAAAAATTGAAGATACATTTTTTTATGAAATGTTATGTTCAGAAAAGTAAACATAAGCTGTTTGTATTTTATACCAAGATATACTTAATCTTAAGATAGAGTAATATTTTCCCCCCCTAATGCCTTTACAATGAGCCAGGATTGATTACACTTACATGCTGTTGCCACATTAACGTCTATAAAAGCAACATTTCACTGGTGACCCAGTACAACAGATGATTGCATTTTCCAACTATAACTTTCAGGGCACCTTCAGAGCCATCTCCAGGTCCCACCAACCCTGCAGATCTGCAGGACTTCTTCAACCGCATCTTCAAGGGAGCACCTCCTAATGACATGGCTGCCAACGGGGGCTTCTTCCCCTCAGGTCCACCCCATCACCAACCACCTGGTGCTGGAGCGCCTCCCTTCTCCCCTCCCTTCTCTCCTCCCCCAGGCCCAACCAATTTCTTCATGCCGGGGAGTCAACGGCCAGAGTCAAGTGAGACATGGGCTGAAAGTGGGAAACCCCCAAGGAGGAGGAAGAAGGTCCGCAAACCCTTCCAGAGGTGAAGTGTGTAGACTTCTCAGTGTGTCAACATCTCAACACAGGGACACAATGAATAATGGCCATGTTTGTCTCTTGCCTGCCTGTTGGCATGTCTAGACCTGAAGTAGAGAAGATTCATGTGCGTCAGGCTGCAGTCAGCCGGAGGAGAGAGGATCGTGAAGTGGAGCCTGGGGATTGAATACAAGTATTGAAGGAGGTTTTAAGACATGGAAGTCATGGTGCTTTATCTCTCACTCACCTTATATTTTTGTTGGTCTTAAAGACGACCGTAGCCTTGGCATTTAAGTCCTTTTCAGGATGCTCTAATGAAACATTTTCCTTTCATAATTTCCTGCCAAATCCTGCAATGCATGATTATTTCACAATGCATTTGAACACTTCATTTGTCTCACTTTTGTTTTTTTATGATTTGTCTCGGGTTAGTTTGGTTTCACTCAGAGGAATGCTTGAAGAGAGCAGGAGAATCAGTGTGACAGTGATTTATTGATCACTTCAATCCACATGAAGAAGATAAACATCCATGCAGCTTCACTGTGTCAGTGTAACTCATCTTAGTGGCATTTAGGTGTAGATTTGCACCTTGCCAACAATAAGTAACAAATAATCCAAACCAGCTCCACCCGACACATCTGAACTGCATGTATGGAGTATTGTATGCTGTGAATCTCTGGTTGTTGGCCTGCACACAGCACACACAGTTTTAAATTCTTAAAAGTGACAATTTGACATTTTGAAATGTTGGTGTTATTCTTCAAGAAGGTTTCTTAGCTCTTTAATAACAAAGACTCTGTTGAGACTTCATTTAGCCAGACAAAACTTAAATGTTGGTCGTAGTCTGACGGATTTACAAAGGGAGTAAAACAGCACAGCATAGTACACTTATCAATGTGAGTCTTATTTGATATCAATTATTGTGCTTTGTACTATTACTAAAGAAAGCCGGACCTGTTTGTAAGCAAACAATGCTTTCAAAAGTTTATTTGTACTATCGGTGTCATTTGGTTCGGTTATTACTGCCTTCCCATTCAGCCTTGAATAATACATCACTTATGATCCATAAGTGAAGTCTTATTCCTAATGAAATAGCAACATATGCAACGTGTCTTTTTCGGGTTAATACTTCTAAATCTTACAACATTTTCATTAGGGTCGAACTTGTAAAGTGCCATTTTATGCAAGCTATAATGTTTTGGGGTATGTTAAGCCATAACTTCTACAGCAGTGATTGATCATCATTCATGCAGCTCAGGAAAACAAAAACAAAAAACACCATTAACCATCAGACAGAAAGTTCTTGAAATAAAATAATGCTGCTACTTCTGAGTGCGTCGAGCTAACATCAGATTTCTGTTCCGCCCTGGTTATTCCATTCAAATGAAGTTTTGCTCTTAACTGGTGTCTTCTTGTGTTCAATACTTCTCTCGGTGAGTTCAGCTTTCAAAATGTCAAAGTCACAGGTTCACAGAGAATTGGGGCTACATTTAGTGAACAGATTTTTCTTTTAATCACTGCAGTATTACAGTTTATAACAACATGAAGGTGTCAGGAAAATGATAGAGGTTGTATTTTTGGGTTTGGTTTCTTGAAGGGTTCTTGAATAGAAATAACAGTTTAATTTTCTTCTTTTTAGGTTAATTTAAGAAAACAGAACCATCATTGTTTACACCTGATATGTGATGATAGTGAAATGGATTTTATGTGTGAAAAAGCGTTTGGTAAAAAGGTTATTTTTTAATATATTGCCAGTTAATGAGGAGAAAAAAAACATAATCATTGTATTTTAGTTGGTTTTTGTTGTTTGCACATCCATCCAGGTTGTAACACCAGAGGGGATTTGAACCGTCATCAGAGTCCTCCAGCTGTAGCTGAGATGGAGTTGTAGCTTGTGAAGCTAATGGCTTATTTGCTAATTGAGACATTTTTTGGGGGGGGGGATGGGGGGGAATCTGAATGTTTACCAATAACAAAACAAACCACCAAGACTGTTCACATCTGGAGAAACCCCAGGTCACAGTTTTGTGATGCCTATTGAGGGTTTGGTAGCTCGAACACATGAAACTTTGTTGCATGAATCATTGAAGCAGGACATTGAGTTTGCCACGCGTTTTTCAAGTTTCACATTGTTTTTTCTTTCATACACATTTAACGCACTACCCAGACATGCATTGAGTAATTGTCCACTTAAATGGCTCTTCTTTCTAAATGAGATCGACTCCAAAGGTTTAAAAAAAAAAAAAAAAAAAAGTAGTCCTGGATGATGGTTATTCTGGGGAAAACAAATTGATAGAATAAAGGATGGCTACAAAACAGAAGTATGAATGTTTTTTTTCTTAATTGGTTAGGGCTAAATCCTGATAAATACTATGGGATAATCAGAGAAATGACAATGCCTTAGATGTATATTTCCTTTTATAAATTAGGATCATTTGTTCCGGATCTTTTCTATTAAACCTCCTACTTTTCTTTTTACATCCTTGTTTTCTAATGTCAGCATTTTCAGACAAACTGTCTTTCTTTGTCTGAGTTCCAGTCAGATTCAGCCCCTTTCCAGGAAACTGGACTCACAGCTAAGCCCGTTAAGCAGTGTGCATTTACTTTCTACATGTTCACCTTGACTTGAGAATGTTCGGTGTTGTATGTGTTAAGGTAGCAGGTCGAAGTCCGAGAGGTCAAAGAAAGAGCCAACACTTTTTTTTTTTTGTTCTTTTAAACAGAATATGCAGAAGTATTGCAAAAAAAAAAGAAAAATAATCTGACAATCATCAGGGTTTTTCGTAGGGAACCATGATAGGAGTTCCCTGACTGGCAAAACAGTTTGAAAATATCACTGTTGGGTTTCTTTTCCCCGCTTTCTCTGGTTTTCAAAATAAAGATGATTTACTCTATGGACATTTGTGTTATACTTTATGCTCAGTTTACTTGACATGATTTTGTTCAAACACATACAGTGACTGAAGAAGTTACACACTCGTCATCATTGCACACATTCTGATTAAGACTTTCTGTCCTCTAGAGGAGCCAGTTTGCCTGCATAGATCGAATCACTTAATATTAATATTTCATTTAACCGTAAACCAACACTGGAAAGAGCTCTGTGTGTCATTATTTTACCTCTTATGGCTTTCCCCGGCTCTGACCTCATTAACTGATGGAGCTGTAGCTGTGGAAAGAGGGCAGGCTAAGTCTACCCCTCTGCTCCTTATAAGGAGCTGTTTTTAGAGAGGTGAAGACTCCTGCACACGGCATCATTTCACTCTCATTCACTCCTTTGACTTATTATAGCCTTTAACAGGTTAGATAAGGCGTAATAATTATACTATCACTCTTTCATAACTGCTATTCAGACACTTAAAACCAAGAAGAAAATGTCCAATCAGTCAGAGGCAGTCTTGTGATTTCCCATAACCTTTTCTTTTCCATTTCCTCAGCTGTCCTGCAGTGAGCACTGTGCCTGCGTAACACATACAGAAACTGTAACAACGCTCTGCAATGTTTAATAACTGATTATCAGATCTGAGTTTAATAATGTTCACATTGATTAATTTAATAAATCTGAAGCTGACATAGTAGTGACTGAAAGGTAGAGGGAGATGGTCTTATCTTTGTTGCCCATCACATCACATGGAGTCACACTCATCCAGTTAGATATAGGATCAAGGGTTATCAACCTTTTATCAATCCACCCCTTGATGCACACCCACTTCAACATAAATACACTGATTTACAATGTTCACTATATTGGGGACATAAATATTGTTTCTTTTTTTTTAAAAGACGCAAAGCTTTCGATATTTTAAAACTAGATCAGCAAGACAGGCGTCTCTTTTTTTAAATTGAAAATCAGTACCAGTGATGGTCTTCTCTTGTTTCAAAAAATATTTCTAGTTACATCAGAGCACTCTTGTTTCTTTATTGTTCCTGAATAATTCATTTAATGCTGCTTTTCCATTGCGGGACCTTTTACCCAGGAACCAGGGAGTTTGGCTGGTTCTCAGTGCATTTCCACGGCAGGGACCGGGGTCTTTATAGACGTCCATGGAATTCATTTGAGATGCTTAAAGGTCCCTGCTGGAAAGAGAATACTTCATAAAATAATGTGACTTTTTGTTTTAGAGCAAAGAACCTATTCTGATTGGTCCAGTACTCTGACAGCATTCAGAAGAGTCCTTCCTAAGTCAGCACACTAATTTTCTCGATCAGGTTTTCAGACCTCGGCTGGTACTTTCATACTGCCAATTCAAGGCGGGATATTTACGGCCCTGTTATGCCTTGTTTGCAACACCATAAAAACACGATGACAAACCTCACACTGGAACACCACTATTACACTGTTGGAGATGCAATGTGCAAGTAATAAGGCGTGATGGCTTTGTTATGGCACTATTGGGGGGGTCACAATGTGGAAATGTGTGGATATAAATATATCAGAGGTAAAGGATTACCCCATATACTGGGTAGAATGCTCTTAGTATGGCTGCATGATTTTGGGAAAAAATTAAATTGTAATATATTTTCTTTCTGCGATATATTTTGTGATATTACAAAAAATGTTGAACATTATACCAGATAAATAATTTGTGTGTTTCAGGGACATATATGCAATTAAAAATGAGCTTTTACAATTTTTATTATTTGGAACTTTAAAGTCTCTTTACTACTAACATATCCACTTTAACCACACTTAGACCTCTGAATAAAGCATGGACTTCTTGGTAGCAGTTGAGTTACTCGGATGTCGTCCACCATTTCTTATGTCGTTCAAAGTAACATTCAGACTGCATGTCCAGTCCTGTAAAAGAAACCATTTCAAAAGAGATGCACTAATGTGATATCAGACTGACATTATTATTTATAGAAAAGTTATAAAAGATGAGAAAATTGTCAGTTTTATGTTTTCTACATCAAGGCAAAAAAAAAAAGGAGCTGCATGACGTGCTTCAGGTAATCTGCTTGATGCTCCCGGTCCTCCTGCGATGTGACCATTGAACACGCACACATCACATTTAAAGTCATATCACGCAGCCCTAGCTCCTGGAACCACAAGTCCTGTGTACTTTTATTAGAAATGCTGTTTCAGCCACATTTAGCTCTATGTTTTTTCTTTTTTCAATATGCAACCCAACCATAACTTGTACTCTCCGCTGATAAAGAAGCCGTTTGAAGATATTTAACGAAGGCAGGACTTTTGTAATATACACAACTTTTAAATATATCAATTTAAAAAGTAGACAGGATTACTTGAAAGTAAAATATTTCATCTTGCACTGATTATATCCACCTCTCCCTGACTACAGCTTTCCTCTCAGAGCTCCTGTGACACTGCACAGTTGAGAACAGTCTCTATAAGCCACCAGGCCGCCATGGTTGGCCCAGCGGTTTGCTCCTTTACACTCAGTGTATGGCTGGTGATAGGTCAGTTCTATCTGCTGATCCTGTGCTTTGGAGCTCGACTGTAGACTCTTACGAAGGTCCACCACCCCTCCACCGAGGGCTCGGAGCAGGGCATGAGGGGCGCAGGAGTCCCACTTAAAGGTGCTCCCCTCTGACAGGACGTAAACATCAGCCAGGCCCTGAATCACACACAGGATCTTGTATCCGGCTCCAGAGGCGTACATCAGCCTGTCAGGGCCGCACAGCGACGTCAGAGCTTCCTTCACCACCTGCTTCTCACTGGAGCTCAGCACCACAGACAGACGCCCTCCTGATCCAGCTGCTGGCAGAGACTCCGAGCACACGTTTACGTTGCCATAGGACACCCCCCAGAAGTGCCTCCCCCTCCAGCTGTGGATGCAAATGATAAGTGGTGGCTTCACAATCTTTTACAAAAACATTTTGGTTAAAGCTGCTTTTACACGACAACATGGCCATGCAGTAACCTGGATAACAAAGCTCTTCTCAAGGTTCAGGAAGTTCATCTGGTAATAAGTCAAATCGTCACCTAAACACTTGCCACAGTTCTCTGATTTATCTCACATGAAGAGTAGCAGGTCTGACTCATACTGGGAAAAAAAACACACTCACACTTAGGAAAAGAAAAATGGGAGATTTGTAAAGGACGGATGAACAGAAGACATCGATGATTATGTAGAATTAATCTACAAACACTTCCTTTACACTTTGTAATGCATCTTATAGGAAGTTTGATCATTAAGGTCATAGTTTGTTATAATGATTTTTTGAACTGCATTATGTTGAAAGGTATTTAGATCAGGTACACTCACAAGATAGTAGAAACCATCTTGATTTAATTTTGTCCAATAAAACAAGCCATGAGTGTGTGACCTCAATAATAAACGTATAAAATGGTTTAGTTACACATCAGTGTAACTTAAATGTTTACTGGAAGAGCTCAGTAAAGGCAGAAGCTTGAACTGGATTGATTCAGATTTTCAAGTTAATGAATTAAAGTCATCAGGTTTCTATTTACATTTGATTATGATTTTAAAGAAAAGATTTGTGACTCCAAGACTAAATTAAAGATGCCTCAAATCTGTCTGTCTGTCTATTTCACTTGCATTGTTTAGAAAACAATAAAACTGTATATCAATAGATACATGGGCTGACTGTGGTCTGAGTGTTTAAACCGGCCTAAAGAGGTAATGTTTCTGTGTTTCTAAAAACCACACAACATTTTTCAACTCACCCTCCACCTTCTGGGATTTTATGGTTGAACGGCTGGTTGATGACACCCATGACAGGCTCACCAGTGTTCCGTAGAAAAACCCCGATGAGGACCAGAGCGCAGTGCAGACCTGAAGGGAAGAGGTGTCCCTCCTCCAGCACCTCCTCTCTGCCCTCTATGTACTGACTGGTGGCATCTTAATGATAAACACATAACAAACAGTCGTCAGAGAGGCTCTACTCTCTGCAGGGTGCTGAAACAAAGCCTCAGGATCACAGTTTCTCACCTATAGGGTCAATCCAGATGCCGAGCTCGGAGGGGCTAAGGGGCACCTTCAGACTGTCAGTGTTGGCGACGATGGTCGCTGGGTCCTGGTGGATCGCTCGAGCAAGCAGAGATGCTGCCACGTGATCGCCATCCAGCACTGTGGCGAGCAGCGTGGCGGTCTCCTGCTCTGTGCCACACACTGTGACCGTCACACTCTCTCCTAGTGTAACAGAGACTTCATTTCAATGCTTGACAACACAGGACTTTAAATATTTACACAGGGCAAAGATGTTTGGACAGTGACACATTAATGTGTTTGCTCTATGTTCGGATTATTTTATATGAAAGATGATTCACTCTCTATTAGGTACAAGTGCACATCATCACGTCAAGTTTACGTTCTGAACTACTATAAATGATATTCTTACTAAATTGTCTTCTTAATCTTACGAAGCCACGTTTGAACTAATATGAGATCTTATTCCGACAGTCTGCAACAACAACAATATTCTTTTGGATAGAGACGTAACGTTCCCATACCAAAATCTGGACCTCAGTAATAACCAACAAGTGGCAGAGTAGTTAACAGTTGCAGCTGTGTCCAGACTAAAGGTCTGGACACAACGGTTTGTTTGCACTTACTGACATTGTGCTTTGGATACAGGTCAGTGGATAAAGTAGGAAACCAGTATGAGTCCAATAACTTACAGCAGAGTGCCAAGTGCCGGAGCTGAACCCTAACCATCCGTCTCGACCATAGCTTCTGTAAATTCAGATTATCCAGGGCCCTCACAGTCATTCTTATCAATGTATTTTTCATCCAGATTGATTACTTTAACTCTGATACTAAAGTGTGTGATGGGAGAACTATGATGGCTAACATATTTTGGTAGTTCCTTCTCCACTAGCACCTCACGCTCATTTGCTGTTCTTAAACAATAGTGGTTATATTGGCGACCTTAGCATATGTTGTTGTCGTGTAGGCCTTTGTTTTAGTAGAGAATAAAGAAGTCAGTTTGAAGGAGCTGATAACAGGTACCACATTTTAGACCATTCCAAAGAGGTTCATTTCCTTTCCCTTTCCTTGTATGTAACTCTGTTTTCTTTTGTTTCTATTATCTGGTTCTTTATTTGAGTTTATCACTCTGAGGGCTCAGCTGACAGCTAGTGGAAAAATCCATGTGGACCAAGTAAAAGAGCAGCACTCGCCCTCCTTATCACCGCAATAAAGGCTTCAAAGTGCTTCAACCCAACTGTTCCAAATGAGTGACTCAGTGTTCAACAGATAAAAATTAGGTTATAATAGTCAGCTTCAAGGTGAGTGTGTGTGTTTAGAGGTTTTAACAAAGCTGGAGCAGTAAATGAGTCCAGTTTGCCAATGATGGTTAAGCTAAATTGAATACATAATCTGTTCGACCTCAATTGAACTAGAATGAGAATTTGGGATTTGTGTTTTGATCAAACTATCAATCTTCGGCAACATCTAGAATATCCAGAAGTAAACTAACAGAGCTTTCATTCAACATATTCTAACATACGTCTACAACTTACATCATATCCTACTGGCAACCTGACTGATTGGTTGGTGGGTTTTATTGTATAAAATGATGTCCTATGTCAGATGTATCTGCAGCAGCATTAAACAGAACATATAATATGGAAAATGATGCAGGAGATGATTCTGTTATTTTACTGTTATGTTTAACAAGGCAGCATTCTCAGTCTGCTGAACCATATCTGTGCCAAAGCTGTTCCCAATCTTTGTCATTTTCCTTTTTGACCAGAACCTGCTTTAGCTGTGAATTTCAATGTCAGCCTTTGTAGAAAACTGTTGCAATGTAGTGCAAGTCAATTATAAAGTTATTACCAAGGCCGTTCTCAAACTTGTTGGACTCCTCTCCGTGAATGAAATCAGCCATCTCAGGAAACTAAACAAAGAAATAGACAGGACATGATTAAAACCTAAACTAAACCAGCTTCAGGTCATAGCAGACATACCATACTGCTCTCTGACATCTCCGAACCTGTGCACCAACATCATGACGGATCATTTCCTGGATCACCACGTCTGCCAGTGTCTTGAAGTCCTGGACAAACTTCTTGTTCTTGTCATCTCCAGTCTTCTCTTGAACGAGGAGCTGAAAAAGCTGAGCCTCCTGCCTACAGACCCGGGCCACATTGGCCGCTTTCTCAGCCACCCGGAGCAGCAGCCTCAGCAGATCAGCCATGACTGAACAGAAGAGCAGAAACAGAGAAGTGTTTAGTCGACACACATATGGAAACAGTGTGTGTGTGAAAAAGAGGCGAGGTGGGTCACACTTGCACATACGGAGCTAATTATAGCCTCAAAATGAAAACAGGGCACTTCTGAAAAAGACAATCATATAAGGGAGGGATGTGGTTTTGGGTATTGCATGTGATCCAGCACAGTATCTCTATCTCTGCAAGTCAGATGCCAGACAGAAATAGACTCTAGTAATCCCAAATTCCGTGTATTAATCCAAAAGGTCTGCCATACTTTGTTTGATTGAAAGATTATTGTCTATTTGATTGATTAGCTGATGCTAGTGGGTTTAATTGTCACTCTTTTCGTTTTTATTGCATGTGTGTGTAGGTAGGTATGTATGTATGTGTATGTGTATATATTTCATTTTCTTTTGAAATTCTTATCGCTTTGTTGTTTTTATTTGTCTCTTAAAAAGTGAGTTCCCTTGTATAAGCCTGTTAGCTTCTTGGCCTCTCCTGACTCACCTGTGTGCTAAATTAATAAATAAAAAATACATTTTGTTTGACAAAATAGGTATGTTTAATCTTTTAGTGTGTTAATGTGTAATAAAAACACACCATAAATCACAGCATGGTGTGTGACTACTTATTTATAGTGTGTGCTACTGAGTGCCACCTACACACTCCTGAGTACTATTAGTAATTTTAGAGGAATCTTACATCATCTTTGTTTTCTGAGGATGGAAAAATATGCAAAGTAATTTTTACTCCAGGTATTTTGACCTCTAACTACACACAACATATGTATCTCTATGACATTTACGGCTATTAACATTCCTGTGAACAGGTTTACAAATGTTAGCTTAGCATTTATAGTGTGGCAAAGGAATTTAACTTGAGAGCACAATAACAACACTGTGGAAAGACTGAAACCTTACCAAACCCAGGTCAACGTTATCCACTGCTCTTTCTTCTCTCGTCTGTTCTTCTCGGCAGCTGTTTTTTTTTTTTTTACTGTCCGCTTTAAAGCAACAAAAACTGGTTACGTTGTGGAACGAAAATGTAAAAAGACATGTAGTTTCAGTAAAAAAGTGGTGAAAACGCGCTTAATTTAAGCCCGAGATTCCTCTGCTCTGGTGCATTTACGTCAGTTTCCTATCGCAGGAAGGGCGGACACTCCTCTATCATCTAGGCCGCCAAACTCAAGGTATGGACAGGCACGTAAGCCGAGCCAGCAGAGAACACGGCTCCTCCCCTGCTCCTCCCACAAGTATAAGGTGTAGACAACAGGAAATGTGGCCGCGGCGCGTTCAAGTGAAAATCTGAAATTTAAGCTTCAGATTCAGTTTGGACCTAAAGTTTGATTTAAACAAATGTGGAACACTGGAGGTGACATGATGTGGTTTTCTTTTTTTTTTCCAAACACACAGGTTTTGTGAACCTGTTTTCTAAATTAAAATACACGTTCTGATTATAACGCATGCATAAAATATTGTTGTCGTGTCAAGTTCAAGGTTTATGTAATGTTAACCTTGCAAATCTGAGCAACTGTCAGAGGAACATATGAGATAAGAGAGTTCAGGAACCCCAGGAAAATATATGGTTAGCAACTTAAATGACACTTGAATATTTACAGATGTGCAGTTATATGATGTGAATGCATACAGAGAGTGAGTGAGTGAGAGAGAGAGAGAGAGAGAAAGAGTGAGAGAAAGAAAGAGAGAGAGAGAAAGAGAGAAAGAGAGAGAGAGAGAAAGAGATAGAGAGAAAGAGAGAGAGAGAGAAAGAGAGAGAGAGAGAAAGAGAGAAAGAGAGAGAGAAAGAGAGAAAGAGAGAGAGAAAGAGAGAAAGAGAGAAAGAGTGAGAGAGAAAGAGAGAAAGAGAGAGAGAGAGAAAGAGAGAAAGAGTGAGAGAAAGAGAGAGAGAGAAAGAGAGAAAGATAGAAAGAGTGAGAGAAAGAGAGAAAGAGAGAGAGAGTGAGAGAAAGAGAGAAAGAGAGAGAGAGTGAGAGAAAGAGAGAGAGAGAGAGAAGCTCATTGGCAGTCTAAGCATATAGCAGCATAACCATGAGCGAGCCTTGAGCCAGCCTTAATCAGCTTTATAAAAAGGAAAGCTTTAAGCCAACTCTTAAAAGTACAGAGTGTGTCTGCCTCTCATTTACCTGGCAGGTAAATGATTCCAAAAGAGAGGGGCCCGATAACTGAAGGCTCTACCTCCAATAGTGTTTCAGAGACAGTGGATACCAAACACAGGCCTGCATTCTGGGAACTTAGTATTCTGGAGGGTTTATACAGCTGACCATTAAGAGCTTCGTAAGAGAGAAGACGGATTTAAATTATATATTCTACTCCAGATTTTATAGGGAGTCAGTGCAGAGAAGTTAATATAGGAGAAATGTAATCTCTTTTTCTAGTTACGTGCTGCAGCATGTTAGACCAACTGAAGAGTCTTACTTACTGGAGCAACCAGTTAAAGAGCTGCAGTAACAAATACATGAACTAGTTTTTCTACATCATTTTAGGGCGATGCAAAATGTTGGTAGGCATTTGACTATGCCAGCATCTACACAATTGCCAAACTTTGACCTATATATGGTAAAATCAACAGGAATTTTTGGGGGTTAAAAAGGGGGGAAATTACTCATTTCCATGGGTATTGGGGGTTTCCATGCGATTAACTCCCACTAAGGGGTGAGTCTGATTCAGATCAAATTTGTTGCATAGCTAGAAGCAACATTGAAGAAAAAAGGCGTCACCTTGTTTAGACCCAATTAGACCTGTAATGACATGTTTTGGAGAACATAACATTTACCTACAGTATGTGGTATAACTGGGTGTTCTGTCTGCTCTGCCTCACTGTCAGCTCAGAGCGGTTTAACCCGGATGTGTGCTTATGTGTGAGGGCCTATTGGGAAATGGTTCTAAAAAAACAGGTTGACAGTTTAGACGACGAAAAAAAACACTGTTTGGAAAGGTTTATTAGAGAAAAACTACGTGAAAATCAGGTTCTAGAGCTGTTTCTGGCAGAGTTTCTATAAAAGGCAGTGACTCATTGTCAGGAAACACATCTTCCCCAAACAACGACAAATGTAATAATTATAATTGTTTATTTCATTTACAGATCACAATGGGGGAAAAAGGCAGTCAGTCTTCTCTCCTGTCTTGTCTGTCTGCCTCTGTAGAGAACAAGTTTCATGGGATATTTCTGTTATGGGCCTTTATTACAATACATGTTTTAGTTAAGGTCTTCAAATAAGAGCTTTCCTCAATATTCACTTTAACTGATGTCTTCACACAAATGAAGTGCAAAAATCTGTGCAATCTGTGTATTTGTAGCACATGGTAATGAAATCTCTACAATTTCCTGCTACTTCTGGTCTTTTCATGCAACTTGTGTAACATGCAAACCCCAACACAAACGCACGCACGCGCGCGCGCACACACACACACACGCACACACACACGCACACGCACGCACGCACGCACGCACACACACACACACACACGGTAATCACAGTCTAATGACACATTTTAAGAGCAAATGCATTTTGGTCAAGTCTCTGACCACTGACATCCATTAGTCGTCCATTAAGTAGCACATGAGAATCCTTCATGTGGTTCATCAATACAGTTTAGTGTCCTCAGTGAACAGGGCGAGGCAGTCATCACACTGCTGGGTGAGCCATCAGTCGCACTTAGGATCCTTACAAGACAGAGCAGTTTCTTCGGATGGAGGTAAGAAAGGGAAATGATGGAGGTTTATGTATACATTTCTAATCTATTTGTGGAAAATAATGTAATATGATGTACATGCATTAATTTACAGTGAATTGAATGTTAAATGTATCACACACTCATGTAGAAGACAAACATACGAGTGTGCATGTGAGACTGACTTAAACTCTCTGTTGCAGGCCTCAATGGGAAATATGTCAGAACTTGAGAGCGGCATGATCGCTATCATCCAAATTTTTCACAAATACTCGGGTCACAAGTGCAACCTGAAGAAAGCAGAACTGAAGGAGCTCATCAACAATGAGATGAATCATTTCATTATGGTAAGTTTTAGATATAAAAGCATAAGAACTGGCATGTTTACGGCAGAATTGTACAATTATTATACTGACTCAAGATTGTTACTCATGCCTACTTGAGGCATTAGTGCACCATAATACAAATGTGATTTGTGGTAAATTAGGTGTGAAACGGTGCATAACTCCATGGATTTTAAAGTTGGTAACTCCATCTATAAGCAAGTTGTCAGGTCAATACTGATCTCTGTTCATGTAACTCGTCTTACACGTGCATGTGACCAATCTTACTCAGACTGAGCTTAAAGCGAATACAGAAAATGATTTGATGTATTGTGATTAAACACAGGTAAGGAAATGTTTTACATATAACTATCAGTGTACATTCACAAACAAAGACACGTGTGCAGCTTACAAAAATGTCTAAAATACTCGACCAATTTGTATTTCCCTTCAATTGTCCTCCTCAACAGAAAATCCAAGAGAAAGAAACCCTTGACGAGCTCTTTGCCGATCTCGACCAGAACGGAGACCTGGAGATTGACTTCAAAGAGTTCATCACCCTCATTGCTATGGTGACCTCAGCGTGCCATGAACTCCATCCCAAAGCCACATAACTATTAGTTTGCATGTAGACACATTACATTATAAGAAAATGGAGGAATCACAGGAAGAAAATGTCCATCAAATAACTTTAGCAATGGATCTTTATTAGATTGTTGGTTCAGTAGACATGACATGTAAATGTGAAAAGAAACATATACTAGTAAAGATGATCCCAATAAAGTAACCATAGAGTGTTTTACAATGTTTCTGCATTAACTACAAGTACACAATGTCATTTAAACAAATGGAAACCGCAAGGACAGACACCCACAGAATACCTGCACCTCTGAATCAGCAGTTCAGCACAGTTAATTTAACACCTACGGACACGAGACAGATCTGATAGGTACAAGCAAGGGCAAATAATCATAGCACTTAAATCGTATTTAAACGTTTTTTCTCAGATTACATCAATATTTTGATTGTCACAACTCAATATCTCTCTCTCTCCCTTTCTTTTCAATTTTACAGCTTATGTTTGGAAGGTATTTTGAGGTGTTATTAGAGTCTTAAAAGCTAGGAGACAAACAGGAAACAGGGGGAAGTGGTTAACCAGATCAAGAGTCTGTGTAAAAACCATTCAGCTGCCACAGTGCTACAGGGTAACAGAGAGCAAACAGCACCCCTATGTGAGACAAAAGAGTTAGTGTTTTTTTTTGCTGTTTTTTTCTGCATGTAAAGCTTGCTCATAGAAATGCAGAACTTCCAAGTAACATTTAGGGTGTTTTTCTATCTCAGATGTTTTTCCATAAAATCCAGAATCTTCTTCCAGGAATCTGCTTGTGCAGCAGCGTGTTGTGCATGGTGACCTCCCCACTGAACAAACACTGCAGAAGAAAGAAAACACATTTTCTATTGCTTTCCGTAATAGCACATATTTTGTCTTGCAACAAACAGCCTCACATTGAAAATGTTATGACAGGGGCTCACGTTTATTTGGCTTGACCCTCCACAGCGACATTCTTGTATTTGGTGCATAAGGAGGTTCAATCAGGTGACCAGCACCGGGGTATGACAGGTGGGTGAATAGATGGGATTTACCCACAGTGTCCAGGGTCTCCTTAATCTGATGAGGAATATAACAGAGTTATAAACCTTACTGGACAAGTCCTGGACCTTATAGTTTATAGTATAAACAGTAAGGTCCAGGACTACTTAATAAATGCTTTCTGCCTATGATAATTGGTTATGCTTTAAAATACAGCACAATAGGAAAATCTACCAGGTCCACGTTCTCTTTGCTTGAAAAGCTCAGGTCATCCATACCCTCTATGTACATCAAGGGACAGGCCACATCTTCTACCTGCAAAACAAAATTTCTCTCACTGACACCGAAATATGGATATGTATATAAATGTAATCTTTTTTAACATGTATATATATGTGTGTGTGTGTGTGTGTGTGTGTGTGTGTGTTTGTGTGTACAGTCTTTGTGTTGTGGGGCCTTCAGTGGCGTAAGAGGCTGTCTTTCACATCACCTTAACTTTGCTCTCAGGGATCATGTTTTCGGGTAAGGAGAAGATTTTAAAACTGACATTGCCTTGATCATCACAAGTCCAATATTTCACTGAACTTAAAGGACAAGTCAACAAAGCAAAAACAATTTTTTTACAATAAAATCAATTGGTAGGATACATTATTAAGTTATTAAACAACATATTGCTAATCTTTAAGACAAGAAAATAGTACAATATAATAATTATCATCTTTAATTACCACTTACCTGAGTACTCTTCCATCCATGCCATCTGAATCTGCTTCTTGGTGCCTGAAGCCATTTCCTACTGGGCCGTTGATACAAATCAAACAAGATGGCTGAAAAGGAAAACTTTAAGCGTTGAAAATGTACGTCTCTAATACAATTTTCTATTACTAGTCATGTTGCATATTTCATGTTATGTCTATTTAAATGCAGCAGTGATTTTAATCAATCTGTAGATTTGAAAATTGATGACAGAGAGGCTTTTCTGACATACTTTGACACCGGTCTGAGTAGCAAGTTGAAGAGTGAGATAGACTCCAAAGGAGGTGCCAATGATCCCAATCCTGTTGGCACAGACCTGATGGTGATCTTGAAGTAGTTGGAAAGCAGTCTATCAACACAAAAGTTTACATTTTTTTAGGTTCAAAATAATTAACTGATTTGTATGTGAACATTTTAAAGGTGAGAAGTACACAAATGCACTTAGCATGAGGTGAATAGTACCTTGAAATAAGAATCACCGACATTCATTTGGTTCTGAGGACCTGGCAAGTCTTTGTGCCCAAAGTAGGCGAGGGACAAGCTAGCATAGCCCCTGGATGCAAACAGGGCAGAGCGATACTCCACCAGTCCTCCGCCTATTCCCCAAAGGTCCAACATGGCGGGAAATGGTCCTCGCCCTGGAAATCAGTAAAATGGGTGCGGTTCAGTGGACACACCCTTCACACAACATCATTCAAATTTGTATGTGAATGTATTAAATGTTTTACTCACCGGGCGGTAAAAACAATGTTCCTACTAGTCCATTCTGCCGAATCTCTATTCTCCTTACGCCCGGTGCCATATACCAGCGCTCAGTGGTTAATGCAGCCAGTTCTGTGCTCTGATCCTCACGGGGGGAAACGTGGCCCTCCATCAAGGACATATGCACCACGTATGGAGTCTCTACGCTTTTTTTCCTCAGCCTGTAGAAATAATAAACAGCACATTTTTACACAATCTGAGTGTTCACCATTTAATGCACAATGTACAAGTGTTTGAGACAGCAGATAGTTTACTAACACACACTTTGTGGTCTTTGTCTCTCAGTTAGCTTGTTTTCATCACCTGCCTTAATCCTTCTCTTTCTCCGGGAGCTGGCTGCAGACCCCAGAACAGTCCCATTGGGTCACAGCCCAAATATGAACCCCCAACTGAATCATCCCTGGTCACTGTTCAGGAAACAAAGAGGGAAAAAGTTACCAACTGCTTTTGGTAAAATAAATCTAAACATGTCTTTGGCCCTGATCACACTCAGTATCAACATGCATTCTGGGTGATCATTACAAAGGGGTCAGTTTTACCCACATCTGCTTTTCATTTTCATTGAATTTAATACTTCTAAGCTATGCAGTTTTTAAATCTTTTTTTTTTTTTTTAATTTCTTAAGTATGTGAACATGTAGTTCATACATTTTAGAACTGTCAGAGCTGTCTACTTGTGAATGGATCACCTAGCTCACATGTTGATACCAGTTGTAAACAGGACCCTTGTTCATGTAATCACACTATTGTGTTTTCTTCCAGTAAATTTGCAATAACACAAATAAAATATAACCGAGTGAGACTCACAGTGGAAGGTGCCATCTGCCTTTGTGTTAAAATGGGCAAATGACTCCCACAGGTCACCATCCTCAGAGTGCATTCGGGCACACAGGGTGACAGCACAGTGTGGGGGCAGGAAACTTCCTTTAATACTGATCTTTTCATCAATGAGGGCACGAACAGGCGACGCTGTCAATAGGGGGGCGAGTCCGTGGCTGCTTTTCCAACGAACTCCACCTATAAGTTTAAAAGTATATTTGTGCACATTAAAGTATAACAACAGAAATTCAAATAACAGGTTCAAATAGGTTTCCAAAACATACCTTGACCAAGGCCATTACATTCCACAAATTATGAAAATGCATGCATTCACAGACAGTTATATACCTCATAACATACACGCCTATTGGGATCAAATTTGGATTATTTTTATCGCTCAAGGAACATTGTAACCAAGTGGCCTTAACATCAAATCACTAACCCTCCAGTTTTGACCAATTGTTCTATTATCTGACCAAAAACAGTCCTTGTTTAAGATGATATATGTTTAATAATCAAAACACAATTAAAATAATTGAGAAGATATATTTGATTGTTTTAGGGATACTGTGCTATACATTGGTATCTAAAGTGCTTGTATAAATAAAGATGTAACTGTGACTGGCTTAAGAACTTTGACTTATTAACAACTAAGTGAATTCTAAAGACATCTCAAAACAGAGTTTTGAATGGTGCAGAAAACCAAACCTTATTGGTAGAGATGAGAGTCAATATGTAAGGGGAATATCTTTGTAGTAAATCATACTTTGAATCATTAATTTTATCTTAAGCCATGGTCTGTGCCTTGGTCTGGAACTTGAACCGGCGACCCTCCGGTTCCCAACTCAAGTCCCTACAGACTGAGCTACTGTCACCCGTAATCTTCCCATTGCATAGTGTCTTAATGACAACAGAAAGATCAACTGAATTAAAAGCTTTTTAAAAACTCTATCAAAAAAAAAGTGGCACACTGCCTCTTGTTGTCCATAGAAACAATAGTGTTAAAAACTAAAGATATCTATTGACTAAATCTTTATCAAATTACAGGAGTGCATGAGTACAAGGGAGCAATCAAACAGTCTTCCATGATCATATAAGAAATGAAAAAACATAACAATCACACCTTGGAAAACGGTGGCTGTAGCCTGTGTGAGTATCATAAATGTATATCTACCCAGAGTCAATAAGCAGATTACACTGCTCAACACAGGCAAAAACTCTCAATAACCCATTTAAGGAACCCAATAAAGAGCAAAGAATATTCTTACCCACAGCGCGGCGACAACATGCCAGATTCTTGGATATTCTGACACATGGAACCATCCTTAATACTGCATTCTGTTGTACTGATGTCACAACCGCATGTACTCTGAACATTGTGATGTTTTTCTGGACCCACCCTAAGAAATAGATATGTAAAGATCTAACACTTAAATACACAAAGAAATACTTTCTGTATCATAATTATGATACTTTTCATAATTATGATATATTTTTTTTTGTTTTTTTTATCTTCAATGTAAAGCACTTACCTGTAATGAAATGTGCTTTATAAATCAACTTTCTATTCTATTCTATGAGTTATTCTAGTGAACAGAGGTGCCAAATATTAAACCTTATAACTGACCAAAGCATAAACTGCACTCTCTGCTGCCAGGCTTTGTCTAGTTAAGATTTGATGCTCTGTTAGACATTAACCCTAGACTTTGTCCAGCTTTAAGCCTACTTTCCAGGTAACTATTGAGTTTGATATTAAACACATTTAAGAAGCTGATTTAGTAGCTGTACAGTGCAAAGTACAGTTGATATAAAGGTGTTAAGAGGGGGACTCAAATTAACAGATGACTACCACAATGAGCATCCGGCCATAATGTAACAGGAAAACTTTATTTATATGTGGGCTATTTTGAAAATATTATAGATGTATTTAAGAACGAACTAAATGATAGTCCTACGAGCTAATAAAATGTCTTCACATTTAAAGTCTCAGAAGAACATTTCTTGAGGTTTGCAAGTGGACCTTTATGATAAGCCTATTAAGCAGAACCCACACGGACCAAGCCTTTTTGAGGTTTTGATTTTTTTTGTCTAAGTTTAAAGAGAGATATTATTTCTTATACATATTGCATCTGTATTCACAGTGAGAGTTATTTCCCTTCCTTTCACACACGATAATAGGCTATTACGATAGGACGTTTTCATTACAATTACTTTGCCAAAAGGTTATGTTTGACATATTGAACAAAGTACAGCTGTTGGAAACTACTGGCGCTCTTCACTGACAAACTTTCTTTTCTTGTTTGTTCTTTAGCTCAAGGCTGACAGCGAGTCAGCTTAACTAGACTATGTTCTGTAAAGTAGACTAGTTGCAAAGTGTCCTTACCCCCTGGAGTCCTCGGCCACAGTAAAGATCCTGCTGAAGCGCTGCAACTTTAGTTTCGAAGCCAGAAACCTGGTTAAAGACAGAGGCGGGGTTTATGCTGTAAATACCCTAAACGTTTTACCTGTGTTTTACACGCTTGTACAGTAGGTGGCGGTATGCACCTTTCAGTCGTTTGCGAGCCGCCAAAATACTAAGAGACGAAGAAGACATTTTATTTCCGGGTGTTCCACCGCCACTTCCGTGTTGTTAATAAGGTTCAACTAGTCGATAATAAGGCCCAGTTCATGGCAGTTTTGAATACAGAAAGAAACCGAGTGGACAATCGTTTAGACGACAATCTGAAACATCTCTAAAGCAGTCTTTTCAGGTCGGTATTATCTGTTTCCACGTCTTGTTGACACTGCTCCTCTGTAGTAAACAGTGCTAGCAGCATGCTGTAACTTTCGGTCCTGCGGTGTTGTTGTGACTTTACCTGTAGATGTGAGACGGACTGCGGTGTTGTTGTGACTTTACCTGTAGATGTGAGACGGACTGCGGTGTTGTTGTGACTTTACCTGTAGATGTGAGACGGACTGCGGTGTTGTTGTGACTTTACCTGTAGATGTGAGACGGACTGCGGTGTTGTCTCACACGGTCAAATCTGAGTGTTAACATAGCTGTATATTGTGAATAAAGGCCATAGAGTGGTTTGAGTTGATGTTTGTTGAGTGTGGGTTGTAGACGGCTAATAACTCGTATTGGCTCGTAGATAAAATAATCACCGACAGGTTGATGTTTAAACCAACCTTCATGTGTTTTCTGTTCACTGTCAGGAACCTTCTCTCTCTGTTATCATGTTACTGAGCTCTCTAGGTAATACAGATAACTTGTAGTTTACTGTGATAAATTACAGAGGGGTTAATATTTGTATTAAAACATTATTTTTCTTGGATTGAACAGTTACAGCTTTTTTCTTTTTTCTTTTTAAATTGTGTATCGTTGTTCATTTAACATCACTTCACATCCTTCTTTTTTTTTAAGGTATTGGAAAGGTGGTGCTCAGTGTCTTGAGATAACATTTGTTATGAATTGTTGCTATACAAATAAATAAAAAAAAGGTTAAATTAGCTGTGTGTTTCACAGTATCACAGGTTTCCAGATTCTTAGTCAATTGACAATGATTGTAAGCATCTGACTGGGGGAGAAGAAGCCCATAAATACTTTATATTCTAACTAAACTAATCACATGGTCTTTATACACAGCCTTTTTTAAAGCCTGTTGTGAGGTCAGGTCTGGAACTTTTCTGGGTTTTTCCAAAGACTACTTCCCCACGCAGCAGCAAAATTTGACCATTCATTTGAAATTGTTAAGACCAAGAGCGGTTTATAATGTACTTCACAGGAAGGTAGTTGCCTTCATTGTCAATGACGTAGTTGTTATTCGACTGATGATGAGCTTTACCAACACTAAAACTGAAAATAATAGGAAACACTTTTCATTAATTGTTACTTCTTGTGTCTCAGACTTTGTGATCAAGGTGGGTCACACTGGATGGACCAGCTGGTACCTGTCGGGACCAGCTAATAACATCCCTTTGGCCTGTAGGTGTAACAATAGTCCACAATGGCCAGTAACTTCCGAAGCTACATCTGGGACCCGGTCCTTATTGTGTGTCAGATTGTGTTGATGCAGTGCATCTACTACAGTTTCCTGGGCCTGTGGTTGGCTGGAGTGGACAGTCTGGTGCAATCTAGTCGGTCACTGGCTCAGATCTTCAGTTATGAGGTAAGCTAAAGATCTCCTCGCCTCTGTAAACATGTAACCTATGTTTGTGGCACATTTTAACCCTCCTAAAATGGTATGTTATTCATTTCTCTAATTTGACAGGTTCTTGGCTTTGCAACAATGCAGGGTAGGCTCTCAATGATGGCATTCATCTTGAACTCTCTCACCTGGTGAGTCTTTTGTTTCATATTTTCTCTGTATACCTAAAGAGTTGAGAGCTCTTATTGGATTCTGATACTGAGGCTTTTGGTGTACACGACAAACAGAAGAACAATTCACATGATGAAAAACCTGACTCCTGTGTACAGATTCTACATTTCTATGTCAAATATGTAAAAAGAGTCTAGTCTACTGTTAAATGTGAGAACAGGTAGAAGTCAGAGCTCCAGGTATGTGGTAAGTGTTCTCATACCTTCTTGTAGGGGTCAGACAGAGCACGTCAGAAAAATTGTTTCAGTGATGATGGCAAACTGTACCGTAGTTCTAAGAGACATGACATGACAATGCCATAGTTGCTGCATGAAAAGCAAAGAACTGAACTATACGGATCAGCCCATTGTCAAAGATTCGATCTAGCTATGCGTTAAGTGTCAGACTGATATGTGATAACCAGGATCGGGACGTTGCATCCCTAGCTCTAACCTCACTTGCTGAACGGCTGATTGTAAGCATTAGATGATGCAAACATTGAAGTACCTCATATTATCATTGACATCTAAAAAGTGTTATGACTTACATTAGAGTAAATAATATTAATAAGATATTTATTATATTTTAAGAACACAATTCCTCTAAATATGGTATGTTGCACTTATTTAACATTTCCCGCTTTGCATGGTCATCTTTGTATCCACTCAAATTTTAACTGACATGCATACCTTTTCTGTCTTAACTTTCTCACAGTGCACTTGGTCTGTGGTTCTTTGTCCGTCGAGGGAAACAATGCTTGGACTTTACTGTCACCGTGCACTTCTTCCACATGATCGGCTGCTGGATCTACAATGCTCACCTTCCAGCCGCCCTCTCCTGGTGGCTCATCAACGTAGCCTGCATGGCCTTAATGGCTGTCATTGGAGAGTACTTGTGTATGCGGAGCGAGCTCAGGGCCATTCCAGTCAATAGTGGACCCAAATCTAACCTATGAATATGAGTTGACATCACACTGAATTGAAAATCTGTGGACGGATGGAGGGTCCTGCCCAGAGGACAATTTTTTACTAGTTTCAGAAGAAGCGGAGCACGAATGTCGGTTGATGAAGACTCTGGATTGTGGTCGATCTCCACTTCAAGTGAAACACCGGACTGATCTATTTATTCAACGCTATCGTATTAATGTTAGATATAATTAACTCTGAAGCATATAAAAATATACGTTTTAATGCTTTGGAAAGTGGATGGCAGTTTAAAGCGGTCCTTGAACTTTTTTGTTTTAATTTTAGTTACATTAAAAAGCACCCCATTTCTTGATTTTAAGATGTATAATATGTTGACTTTTCAAGTTATGTGCACATTTCTACAAACAGTTAGTGACAAGACCAAATCTTCAACTCTCCTTTAAAGACACTGGAGAGTCACAGATTTCAGCAACTGACATTGTTTCCTTTATTTACAAGCTGGAGGGGTAGACAAACAAATATGACCATCATGTTATAGGATGCTTTGATTACATCTCTTTAACATTAAAAGGTAATCTCAGCAATGTAACCTTTCTCAGCTTTATCATTTTGTTTGAAAGCTGCATTTAAACTTAAATGTTTGTCAGTGTTCAGACAGTTCTAATTTAGGTTTCATTTCAAATCCGGCTTATTTGACCTCTTTAAACAGAATCTGTAGATTCTGTACATTCAGTCTCATAATGCTCATTGAGGGCTTCTTTGTCAAGGGTGTACAGCATTTTGCACAGCAAGCGTTGTTTTCTTCTGTCTCTTCATGTCATGATGTATTATTTAGACAAGGTGGCCCACTTGGGGGACCATTTGTCAGCCACCAGCTGTGTTCTGACAGCAGGCTGCGTCTTTGTTTCTGAAACACTGGCTGTTTGTGGAGATGTGATGTGAAAGATCTGAGATGGGCACCTCTGATGGTTTCAGGAACAGTTTCAGTTTTCTGGTGTAGGAATGGCTTTCTAAACCTTGTATAAATCGACTGCTTATTATTCTACAATCTTTTTATACTGTGTGGTGACTGGTAAATCAAACTGTTACAGCTTCAATAGTGTGGACTTTGCTGTGGCTTTAAAAACAACATCAGGCTTCTTAAGTGTAATTGAAGTACATCATTATTTGTTATGTGTGTTGGGAATGAAAAGGTTATACAATGGTTGGACATTACTGGGAATACAAGGATTTGTTTCCTGAGAGTTTTATTTGAGTATCCATACCATTATTTCTTTTTAAAATATATATATCCTTTTTTAAAATCTTGATGGAAATTCAAGTTTTCACTCTGTTATTAGCACAAACAGGATCTACGGACATGCATTTAATGAATGCCTTTTATGGAGAGATATCAGAGTGAGGTGGCCGCTCAGGGACCCCGAGCAGTTGGCGGTTCAGTGCCTTGCTAAAGGGTAATTTTGGCAGTTCCAGTTCCAATTCCATACTTGATATATACCGCGACTTAAACCAGTGACCCTCCGGTTCCCAAACCAAGTCCCTGAAGTCTGAGCTACAGAACATCTTTCAAATGCACTACAGCATTATTACTTATTAACTTATCAACACACATTATATCTCATTCAATTAAGACCAAACTGTAAGAACAAAAAGTTTTTAGAGGAATTGTGTTCCAGGAAGTAATTTTCTTGGCGGGTGCAGTTACTTCCTAGTTTCTTAGCAACTTCATTTAATTTTATTCGCACTTCACTTTATTACCAGTCAAACCAGGTTTACTGTGTTAACAGTTAGCTGTATTGATGCTGGAGTTTTTTTTCTGTTATCTTTGTAGGGTGTCACTGGTGGTATATTTAATAAACAGGCAAGAGAGTTGCATTGATCCTCTCATCTAACTCTTTATAGGGAAACCAATAAGCATACTGTTTATCACTAATAACATCGAGCTTTTCCTTCATGTTATATTCAAAGTAATGACTATTGTGTTCAACTAATGTCTCCTCTCATTTGGTCATTTCTACCAATGACTGCTTTTGAAGTTTAGACCTGCGATGCCATCTAAGTATTCTTTAACGTTAACTTTGTTTTTTTTTTTAATTCATTTCAATTCAGAGAACTCTTGAGATGGACCTATTCATGTGAATAAATACTCTGACTTTGTATAATGTGGAAAACATCACAAACACAGTGTAAATATTTTGTCCCCCTTAAGATTTAAATGTGTCCGCACCATCAGAGGGGAATTATACTATATAATTCAGGTATTTTGTGACTATGTTCCTCAATAAAACACGAGAAATAATTATAGATTGGAAGGGAAACGTGTGTGATAAACTCAGTCTGGAAACTGTAGGTATAAAAATAATTGGCCATTATGCTTTAGACGTCAAAGATGGGTCCTCTAATGAGGGAAACATTACAGGAATGTCTTCGGATCTTTGAAACTTTTCCACCCTGGGCCCTGATCCCTCATTTTCTCCCACCACGGCCTCTGCTTATGTGTCCAGGTGGAGAGGAGCAGATGGGAGAGTACTAACGAGTAAAGAAAAAAGTGCTGGTTGCAATCCTCATTACCAACACTTTGCTTCAGGGGTGGCTAAAAAAAGGAAACTGTAGTAAATGAGAGAAACGGCATGATGTCTTACTGCATTGATTAAATGCTTTTCTATTTTAAAACTTTGTGATCCACAACCCTGTTAGCCATTAGTTTGTTCAAACACACACACACGTTATGTTTTAACATAGTGCTTTATTATTACAAACACATTACTCTGCTATATATTGCTTTATACAGTCGTGTAAATAGAGTGCTCTGCCGTCAGGAAACTGAAGAAAGACATGGGTACTGAACTTTTTTACATTCAGAGGTTCTCTCCATGTGTTAACTGTCTTTAGGATTCAATTCTTGTGCTGTAATAATACTTATGATAACACAATCATTTTCATGCTTTCTTTAACAGCATACAAAGGGATGAGTCCTCTCGTAAGAAGTGATCCAATATATTGCTCATGCTTTGAGGACATCGTTGTATTCTCACCACCAGACACACAATGGATGACTTAATGCAACCACTCCTGATACAGAAAAATAAATAGATACCACTGGAACAAACATGCTAATGGGGGTAAAGTAGGAGAGTGGGTGGGTAATAAATCTGCATATATTGAGGAGCTTGCCTAACTTCATGCACAGATCAATATCATTGTACACTTTGTCCAAGGAAAAAATCAACAGACTGATATTCTGAAGCCACTAACATGAGCATGCATTTGTGGTGAAATAGAGGAAAGGGAAATATTCAGGACCACAAACTTATCCACATTTTTAGAACACATTTTAGCATCAGTAATGAAAAAAAAAAGGTACAAAAAGTGACAAAACAATGCTATTGCTCAATAGTTGATAATTTGCTCCTAGTTAAAGGTGAATATTGCAGAAAAGGTAAATGATTTTTATAAAGTGAATTTAACCTACACGAGAGTTTCATATGAAATAAAAGTCTATTACAAATAGTGATATCTCAAATGTTTTCTTGGCGTAATGTGAGGAAGAGTGAGAATTATTAAAACTGTAGCTCCCATTCAATTGTTTTCTCTCATTGAGATTCACAACATTTGCTCATTGCTGCTTTGGAAGCTTAACGTTTGTCAAATTTGAGTAAATTAGAGCAAAAGATTCCCCTAATGAATCAGAATGAACAGAATGAAACAGATGAGTGGAGCAGCACAGCTTGGAATCTATTTAGTTTGACATCATATTTATGCAGTCCATTAATGAATGGCTTTATATCTGACATTGCTCGATACAAAATCAGTTGTATGTATATGTTACAAAATAAGCTATTGTTTAGTGTTTTATGGCAGCTGTTATGTTTGCTGTTGCATATCATTTGACTTCACTAGAGAGATAAACTATAGATGTTTAAGTTTGAATAAATACTGTGTTAGAAGACCTATATGCAGGCATTAAAATATAATTATTCTGGAGATTTTTTCATACACTTTGAGCTGTATTTTTATCTCTGGATAAAAATCCACACTGAGTAGTCTGTCTGAATATGACATAGTGGGACATGACACTAAACATACACACTTTCAACACAAAGGTTTACAGGTCAAAGTTTGATTAAGAATGAAATTGAACCAATGCGTGGGGCTCTGTGGGAGAAGTGATCATGTGATGCAGAGTTAAATGTGAGTTTTTGGTGTCTTTATAGCAGCTGAGCAACATCAACCACAGCGGGCTGAAGTGTTGGGGTTAAAAAGGGGTCAAATGTGTACATGGGCTTTGATTGTCACTTACACAAATATTTACTAGACTCTGAAACAAATGTAAGGGGCATCTCACCTATAATTAAAATTGTATTTTTGTTTAGACACTGGATTCAGTGTGTTTAAGTCTTTCAGATAAATGTTGTTACTTCTGTCTCATCGTTTGGTCCTTACCATGATGAATAAGTTAACATATTTAAGCAGTTTTGTAATGACTGAGAGCTGAGATTTGCTTAGATCTATGCTGATGTTTTTTTCTTGTGCTGTCTTCTACTTGATAGCACGATGGCTTAGCCTAGCCTAGTTCAAATGCATTACTTTAAAGCTCCCTTAAGTGTAAAATTGACTATTTGTGTGTTGTTGTTTTTTTGGTTCTTTTTTTTAATTGGTGAAATATTGATTGGCTAGGTTGCAGCTTTGTGAGCTATGTGCAAGGCTAAACTAACTGACTGATTTTAGCATACACATTTTTGAATATTGGACAGATATCCTCAGCAAACTCCTAAAAAGTTGAACTCTACGGTCAACTATCATCACAAAACCATACACAATAAAGTGTGGGCACAAAAACATAAACACCTGCTGTATTAAAATATAAGAAGAATATGAATTACTCCACAAATACACAGCTCTTAAACGTCAGGTCTGAATCCTGCAGAACATGATAATGACAATAAATTCTCTTAGCATGGCTATTTCATTAGATTGCATTGAATTGTGCAGGTGTTGATGGTATTGTGCCCAATCCCTGTGACCTACTTTATACTGGTATCCCAGAGCCACAGGTGTCGAACTACTGTCTGATTGGACTCTGCTAAGAGATTGTCTCAAATCTTTGGAGTATTTGCAATATTTACTCATAAGTTATATTACGGAAATGTATTTTCCTTTACTATACACTGTCAATTTCTCGACATGTGGGAGGATCAAGCTGAGGGATATGAGAAGATTTCAAACATTATTCATCACAGCAAATATTGATTGGCTGAACCACAAACCTCCATGGCTCTCTGTCAAAATAATCCTTATTAAAACATTTGTTCTATTTAAATCCTTGGCTTTAAGTTTGATATCTGAAGGACTGAACCCAGGGGATATCCCTCCTCACCTCAGCCCTCATCTATACAGAGGACCCAGTCATGATCAGCATGCCTATAAGGGACAGGATGAGGGTACTGAGGGGTGAACTTATACTGGGAGAGGAGCTGGGGCTGCACAAGTCGAATAGACTCCCCTGGAAGCGCATCTTCCTCGAGTCCTGCCTCAGAGTCTCCCAGATAGAGCTGACTTCTTGCTCACAGTCGGACAGCGCTGTGAGGGCACATGTGTGGAAAGCTTCCCAGTGGCTGTGGCAAACAAAAGATCATCCGATTATTGATTTGTCTGCCCTACACTCTAAAGTTGAACCAGATGTGCACTGGTTGTTAGCTGCCAACATTGTATCACTCAGATGGCTTTAAGTAAGTCAAACTGAACTTTAATTACCATGGCAACGGTATCAGATAGTAAAACAATATCACAGATTATACTGTAACAAGTCAATTTGTCTAACAGAAGGCTGTGTGTAAATCTTAGTCTTAAATATACAGAGCTGGGGTTGTGGGGTGCGTGCAGTAACAATGACAAAAAAGTCCCTGGAATTTCATTACTGCTGCAGCAAAGTCATAAATTATTTAGCACAATGGCTCAGTGTCTCAGCACCATTCATTTCTCTGTTCTTCCTCAGAGATTATGGCATCTGCTCTTTTTTCTCTCCAGTATTTTGTCAGGAGATGCATATTTCATGCTGTATCTGTCTAAATTATTTCACTAAATCATGCCGTGTTTACATTCAATTATTTGCACAATTCTGCTGATCAGTAGTTTTTTACTATTATTCCAGCCCATCACAACCCGTTTGTCTCTAAGCTCTGTTCTTATCTGCTCAGGTTAAAATCAGCAGGGTGCCGGGTAAAGAAAAACATACAGATTCTCCAGATGATGGCTAATGTGTAAAAATGGTTGCTGCTCACACACACACACACACACACACACACACACACACACATTCAAAATTAGGTTCTTTTTTCACCTGCAGACTGCTGCCACTCCGCTCTCACTGGTTACGTTCTCCTGCGAGTTGTCCATACTGTCTCCCAGCTCCAACACACAGTCAGAGAAGTCTTTATAAATGTTCTCACACTTAACATCTGTCAGAGGGTCTCCTGACACTGTCAGCGAGAGGAATACTGCAAATAGAAAAAGGGTATGAAGTCTTTACAATAAGAACTGATGTTTGGCCCTCTGAATTGCATTACATTGTCCCAAACAAAAGAACAAGCATTTAAATGTTTGTTTTGTTATATTTGACCAATTCCAGTAATAGCTCAAAGCAGTGTTCATGCAACTTTTCACACACACAAGACTGCAATGATTTTTTTATTAGTTGTGTTCTTTCATTAAATCAAGAACATTAACGAGGGAATTTTTTAACATTTCTGGTAACCTGTGAAGTTCAATCTGAACTTGACTTCAGCTAAACATCATGGGAGAAGGGCAGTGAAGCAGATGTTTCCCAGGGGAATAGCCCTGACTGCTGACGCCAGTACAATCCTTCCACATGGGGTGCAATGCTCTGGTCAGAGCTAATTGCAATGTTAATGCCAAAAATACTTAAATGACAGGCCTAACATAATATAAGAGGACTATAAAAAAAAAGTGGTATTCAATAAACATGTAGCTTAACAGCTTGTGTGTTTTTTCTTTTTGTGTATTTTGCACACACAATAGCTTGCACACTATCACCTAAGTATAGACACCCTGTATGTGTCGTGCATGGGTGTACTTCAAGCAGTTGGCCACGGTACAGCACTCCCATAACCACCATGCAACGCCGATAGAGATAAATAAAGATGACAATCCAAGCAGTGACATTTCAGATGCAGAGATAAAGAGATTTCGGATTTTAAAAAAAGCTGCAAGGCAGTTTTCTCCACCAAAGCAGCCAAAGTGGCTCGTAGCCTAAATAAAACCCACGGAGGTGCTCGTGTTGTCTTACCCAAGGCAAAAGCAAGAATCCCTCCGATCTTCGTCGACATGAAAAAGCCCATATCATCCCATTTCAAGCCAAGCGGAGGGCGCGGGATGCTGCCGAGGCGCGCAGGAATCGGAAGAAAATCGGCGCTGAGTCACACGGAGCTGATTAGCTGCCCATTATTCATGTGTGTCGATGTGTATCAGTGATTAAGCGCAGATAAACACTTGGTGGGTGTGTGTATGGAGTCTTTTCCTGCTCCGGCCGACTGCTGACGTTACCTGCCCCCCGGCGCGCGCTGAGCTCATCTTCCCCCTTCAGCACCGGACAGCTCTCACCTCCCCAAAGAGGAACCGCAGCGCAACCAGCCTGCAACCAGCCTGCAACACCTAAACAACACGAAAAGCCTCATATAGTGACTTTATCGTATTTTATTGATTTAAATCTCAAATATGTTACGCATATAGATGCATCCCTTGTTTGTACAGCACAGAAGAGGTTACACATGGATTATAACAATGCTTTGTTGTCTATTTGAAATCTCATTTAGTCCCGTTTACATTATAGGGCTCAGACTAGTCGTGGGGTACATTTTACAATCTGTTTAACGGTTGCTTTATTTATTAACATAAAGTATATCTATGATAAAGTTAGAAATTAAGCTCATTTTTTACAGTAAGAGCCAAAGTGACAATGTTAAAATATATTGATGCCTAAATCCCTGCCATGTAAGAACAAAAAATAAATGGTAATGGGGAAATTAAGAATTGAAGATAAAAGGTTCAATGTATGAAAAGACAAAAGGATAAGCTGAGGTAATATATAAAGTCCTTTTGCATTAAGCTTTGAAAAATAATAATACAGGAGGGTCAATTAATAAAGTCAAATTAAACTTATCAAACTGATTGGAGGTTTAGAAAAACATGTTTACTGTTATTTTCAACCCCATCACAGCTGTAATAATGTGAACTTATTTCTAATAACTTAGATTTAAGTATCCTAATTTGTATACATTTTTCACATATTGCAGGTTGGGCACTAGCCTATAATTAACCCTGTATTTTTAATAAATTAAATGTATCAATTGAACATTTTCTATTTTTTTGTGTAACTTTAAACCAAAAGCCAAGCTCTGTTCAGATGTGTTTCTAAAAAAATGATTTAAAATCTTTAAAGTGAGAATTTTAATCCACTCCTTGTCTTAAATATACAATAAATTTGGTGTCTTTGGGTTGCATTACTAGTTCGATTAAATCAGACATCTGATGACATCACCATGGGAACTGTGTTGGTGAGCAGCCGGGTAACCGTGGACAGGCCAGGTTAATAAACGGGTATAATTATTAGTTTTGGCAGTAGTTAAAAATATTAATGCACAAAGTTCTTAGAATGTCAAAGACAACAACATTATGTTTGATCCCATAATAATAAAAGTGTAATAACTTAAGAATAGAGAGCAAACAAAAGGAAGCAATACACTTTGTTCACTCTTTTATTGCATTTTAAAAGTGTTTTTTCTCAAACAATACTATGCAACCAGAAATATTGCATCAATGACACTTAGTGACTGAAATTCTCCCCTGAGACTCTCACAACAGTCAGGTGATAAAGCAGGTGTACTGACCTGTAGAAAACCTCCTAAGAATACTGTTTGAATGTTCATTGTATTTGCAGCTGCCATTGCCCCGTTAACAAACAACATTTAAATACAAAACTCAGACCATATATGACCAGATGTTGAAACAGGAGCGTCACCAGTTGGAAAGATTTTTTTTATCAATTGCGTCTATTTGTTCTTGACATCAAGTCTTTTCAGGGCATCGCAAAAAAAGAGTTTAAACAAGGAACGTGATAGAGGGGAGGGGTATTTATCAAAATTTAAGATATGAAATGTAAATCATCAGAAGTTATAAAATCCTCAACACTGGGGAGAAGTGTTTACCCTATTATATCCCTTTAAATTTCCATTAAAAGAACGTTTGAGTTTTAGGCTTATCGTTTTTCACATAGACACACTGATAGAAATGTTCCCTTATGAAGAACTATAGTTTAGTCCTGTTAGTGTCTGATGCTCTGATCAGAGCAGCAGAGTTCAGGATGCTCTCTGGTCGTCGTACCAGCAGAGCAGCAGACAGAACAAACGTCTCTGCTCGGAACAGAAATTGCATTCCAGAAATGTTGTTCCTTTGTGGAAGGCAATTAGGTTAGTGTGGCGAGGAAATGAGCGTTGAAAGCCTGATGGACAGTATGATGATGGATGGAAATGAGCAGTTTTTATTGATCTGCTCCGGCAGCCCTGTTGGTTCGTTTCCGTGGAGATGCTTTAGGGGAAGCCTTGTCTGTGAGAGAGCACATAAAGATCAGATGGGTTTTTGCTTAATAATCATGAAAAGACATATTAAAATGAACAAAGACTACCTTTTAAACAACAGTTTAGTTTAGTCTGATCAACTATAAAAAATGAACATACTCATGACATTGAGAGTCTCCTGAGGAATCCAGCTGATGTCAACATCGCTTATCCCACCAGTTCCCTTCTCTATTTTCACTGAGAGTCTCTTTTTCTGAAAAAGAAAGAAAGACAACAAGACGTTATGACCTATTTTTAAACCCTTTGCTTGCTTAGTTTTAAATGTAATGACGTAAGGTTTTGGCAGAATGATGTATTGACAGGGTTGATGCCACATCCCTTTGAAAAGGGAACTTTATTCAGTAACGGCTGTTGTGTTTACTGGTAAAAACAGGCAATGTTAAGAAATTCCCTCAAAGTGTTCCTGGGATGTCAAGTTCACAGAATGGGACGAAAATGATATCCAGAAAATAGCTTTTACTAGACATTCTGATTTCCCAGTGAATCTGACCTTTGAGGTGAAATATGTCATCACTTAATTATTTTGCCCTTATATTGAAATGTCTAATCTTTTGTGGTACTGTCTCAAAGCAAGTGTGTGAGTTAAGGCCAAAACCATTTCTTTCTTTTTTTTTAGATGTCACAGTGACATTCAACCACCACATTCTATCAGACCATCGTTGGGCCTAAGTCGACATTTGTACCATATTCGAAGATATTTCCTCAATGGGACAGATATAGACAAGCTGATAGAGGACATACATACCGTCCGTGTCTCCAGGACCTGGTACATCCCAAACAGCATCAGGACCACCAGTCCAACCAAGAAGATGTACATGAACATCCTGCAGGAAAACAAAATCAATTCATCAACTGAGCTGAAATCACTAAAAGAGTCCCAAATACCGCTGTGGCTTAACATACCAAACTCTATAAGTGACCTAGGACTTCTGGATGACTGAAGACAATTAAAAAATTAAATTTTAAGATGACTCAAGTTATACTAAATACAGTACATTCAGACCATTTGATGCTATCTGTGCTCTATGCTGTTGCACTCAAATAACTAAAATATTGGCAGCAACCGAGATGTTTGATTTAATACAAAATAACTGATCCATAAAGCGACCCTCAATTATCTGCAGCTTTAACATGATCTTATCTCATGATAAAAGATTTCTCGATGGAAAACATTTTCTCATTCTTGTTCAATTTGTTGGTGACAGAATCTGCATCTTGCACCAGCCACACAATTCTGACGAGTGATTTCTTTGTGCCAATTTCACACCTTTTTTTTACAGGTTCCTACATGTGCTGAAAGCAACAGGGAGAGCTGCAATTGTGAAGCAGGCTTGTTGTACCCTCAAGGGACAAGGCAAGTGAGCAGTAGGAGGGCTAAATTATTCAGTCAAAACATAAAAGTGAAACTCAAAAACTGGTTTAATACACAACCAAAATGCCTACTGTGCCACACTAAAGCTTACAGTTTTCCTTGATTTTATTTGAGTTGCATAAAAAGTGTTGGCTTGAAACGTTGAAGTATTGTGCATAATAGGACAGAACAACAAAAGGAAATTGGAGTGAATAGAAGCGAGTCTTACGTTTCTCCGTCCAGTCCCTCTTCGCGCTCAATGATGGTGACAGTCTGGTTGTAAATCGCAGTCTGGAACACGGCACCCTGAAGAAAGACACAAAACACAATGAAGAAAATGTGCTCAGTTTAATGTTAATGGAAATGATAACAGTCAGAAAAAGAGCTTGGTGCCACCAATAGAGCCATTACACAAGAATGAACGAGGAAAGCTGACTGACGCAAGATATATGTATGCCATCAGTTTCATTTGTAAAAATGAGCAGGCCAAAGAGGTCCGAGTCCAGTCAAGAAACTGTAGGGAAAAATCCCACTGGTTTCTGGAAGGAAGTTAGAGTTCTTATCAACTGTAAAACGTTTCTACAATGAACTGTAAAAGGTGTTTCTGGAACAGAAAATATTGAGTAATGACCACAGCATTATAGTTTATTATTTAAGTATCAAAAGTTGGGCATATAAAGCAGGGAATGTGGAGAGTGATGCTTCAATTTGGTTACATTTACATGAAGTGATTTAAGATATAAAGAAGCTGTCAAATTCAAAGCAAGTGGCTTATACCATATTACTGCTGAACACCTTAAATATACAGTTCAGATGTTAGCTCCTCTTCTTTCAATTTGTTTTACCTCTGTCATGATTCATGAGCTATTACCTGACTCAATGTTGTCTGTTAAATGCAGTCATCAAAGACAAGGCTGGTAAATCTGAAGCGTAGATAACTAAAGGCCCATAGCTTTAGCCAGCATACTAACAAAAGTCTTAGAAGGACTCTGCTTTAACGATTAAATAAATAAATGAACTCTTCAGACAACCTGTTTGGGTTTAAAGCTAATCAAGGCACAGACTTGTGCTTATACACCCTAAAGGAAATTGTAAACAGGTAAAGAGGTCAGAACTTGTCAGTTCCTATATGTTTTATTATATTATTATTTTATGAATATGCACATTTCCCATTAATGAACATAAATATGTAAATATGTAAAATGTAAATATTCCAGATTGTAGCCATTGGCTAATTTCCATCTGTAGTCCCTTGGCAGGTTGGTGGTACACACATATACATATTTATGTGTAACCATAATGACAAGCAAAAATCAAACAACAAATATTGCCTAGACAACAACATTAACTGTACATTAGTTTACAGGGACTCATTCATACAGCCATAATAAAATGGCTTTTTTTTTTAGAACAAACCTAGATAAAGTGACCTTCAGAGTATTGCACATGATTATAGGGGAGTGATGTAAATTGCAAATTTGCCCTTGAGCCAGTAACTTTAAAGTGCTAGTGTAAATGCACATAGCATTATTGCATATAATTTGCATATACAGACATGTATATGTACATACATAACTGTATGTATGTGCACTAAATTAGAAATAGATTATGTCCTGTGTTTATATTTCTTGTGCTTTTTTATGATTACTTGGATTTATGGGTCTGAAATACAGTTTAAAGTAAAGTGTAAGATGGCTAGACATGGTCACAGGTCTGGTTTGTGATGACCCTTGACAGTGGCAAAGCTGAAGCATTTTCTGACTGAGAGTGGTAAGCTGTTCTATAATGTGCTCCTTGGAACAACAAGACATTTTTGATCAAACGTGGATTGTCTGAGGAGAACCTCACAGTCACCTCTAACAGTGGGTCTAGTTGAAGAGTCACTGATAGCTTTCTGTTTGATGTAATCATTTAGTGGAAGTGGAGCCAGCCCATGTAGGACTGGCAGTTTTTAAATTCGGGAAGTTGTCCAAGCTTAATAGCCTGTACTTAAGGATTTGACAATGGTGATACGAGAAGGGTTTTTTGTCTAATATTCAGATGCATCCAAAGCTTTTAATCATAAGAAGCTGTTTGTTAGAATGACTGAAAGAGGAGTGCCCAACACACTTTGAGAATCTTGGCTTACTAGTTCACCCACCAGACAATGCAGGTTAAATCAGACCATGGTGTGTCAGCCCTGTTTGGTGTAACTAATGGTGTTAGACTATGGGGAATTGTGCCCCCTGTTCTTTTTAATTTGTATACTGATGATCTGTCCAAGCAGGTGAAAGCCTGTAATACTGTTAGCAGGATTGGTAACAGTCAAGTGAACCATCTAATGTATGCAGATGACCTGGCTGTTTTCAGTCCAAGAAGGGCTGTGCTCCAGCAGCTGCTGACTGTATGATCTGTTCATTGTGCGCACCATGATATAATATATAACGTCAGTAAGAGTGCTGTATGATATGTCGCATTAAAGAGGAACAGACACTGAACTTTCCTGCTGTTAAACTGGTGAACCATGATTTTGACTGTCAAGATAAATTCAAATATCTTGGTAATTTCATCACTGAAAAAAATGACTGATGATGATGATGTATAAATGAAATGCTGCAAGATGTTTGAAAAAGCAAACATCCTTGATTGCAGCCTTAGTTTGTGGCCGGATGTTTTAAAGATGTCTCTATTTACAGCGTATTGTAAACCTCTGTATACGGCACACTTACAGGATGGACAAACTATAAGAAAGCAAGAATGTAGAGACTTCAAGTAGCCTATAATGATGCTTTGAATATAATATTACTAAAGCTAGATGGTGCAGTGCAAGTGAGATGTGTGTGACTGCGCGAGTCAATACTCTCCATGCTACTTTGAATATTAGTTATTTGTATATTAGTTATAAATAAGGAACTTTTATTGTGCTTTTGTAAATGTGTATGTATTGTGGTGTCTTTTATCTGGACCTTGAGTCTGTAATGGATGCAGCTGGTATATGAAGAGATAGAAAAACAGAATTGCTTCACCAGGTATTCATCTTCAGAATCTGAGGTGGCAGTGACAAACCTTCCTGTTTTACATCTTCTCAGTTAGCAGCTAACATTGTCCCTGTCCTTTTTCTAATAACCCCATTCTGACTAAACCTCAAACACTAGTCACCACCACAAACAACCGTTTTATAATGACATCTTTTCTTTACCTCTGTGTCAAGATAGTTGAGGAGGATGACGAGACCGAATGGACGACCTGCCATTGGCTGGGCTGGGATGAAGGAGTACTCGAAGGAGGCCTGAGACTCTGGCTTGACTACAGTGTTCAGAGGCAAAGCTGTGAACTATACAAAACAAACAACATGCATCATTAAAGTACATCAGCTTGTTTACTGTGACAACAAAAAGAATGGGAAAAAAGTGAATAGGAAAATATAGAAGTATAAACAAAGGAAATCTTCAAAGTTTAGCACGAGTAACAAATAAGGCCTTCAAAGTTGATAGTTTCTATGGACACAGTTTCGACTGTAGAATGTAAGGGAGAATTGTTTTAGCCGAAGAAATAAAACAACTTTTTGATCAAAAAACATTTCTAAGCAGTATCAGATCAAGCTTACATTCTGAATGTAGAACTGGAAGTCTTGGGGGTAGCGGAAGGAGGCCTCCAGCGACTGAACGGAGAAGTCCTGACTTCCCTTGTTGGTGAAACCCACCAGGAACCTCACAATTTCATTGGCAGGAAACTCTAAATGTATTAAAAGAACAAATAAATGACAAAATAATGTGATTAAGTATAAGCCATGAGATCTAATGAAAAGACATAACGACAAATATTGCTGAGCGACAATGCTGTGAATCTCTCTGAAAGAAACAGACCTTCTCCTGTCATGAACATGATGGTTGTGTCAGCATCAGGGTGGGACAGTATCTGTTTATCTGCTCCTTCCTCAGTGTCATCTTCTTCTCCCTCCTGACAAGGAGCACAAGATAACATTGTTACTTGATCATCTGCATATGAATCTATGGTTTTATAAGCTGCTGTGCGATTCAAACATACATACCGTGGGTTGCATCTGATCTTCCTCAACAAGCACCTCTTCTTCATCATCTTCCTCCTCATCCACTGCAGCATCTGTGTCCTCGGCAACGTCCTCGGCAGAGTCCGAGTCTGCTGAGACCTGGCCTGTGTGGGACAAGAGACACAGAGGTGTATACCACATATTGTTGTACATTTCAGTGTTAAAAGGATGATGGAATATAATATGGCTGATGTTGTATTGAAAAAAAGATTATACCATACAGTACTTTGGTTTGGACATTATATTACTGATTTAGTTTAATAAAAAACTATCATTTAGAAACATTGGATCTTTTTTAATGAGCGAAATATCCGATGGATGCTTATCCACAATACTTAAGGGTACACAAACAATAAGTTATCAAAGTGTTGAGAAAAAATGAAACACTTATTTTGTTAGAAGTATTAATACTACACACCTATTGGGCACAATATTGTTTAGCAAACTCTTAAAGCAAAGATCCATAAGGTAACAATGTCTTTGAGTTATGTGTAAGATAATTATTTGGTAGAAGCAATAATGCAGTTTGAAATGAATGGTTAGGCCATTTTTCACATATGATGACACTTTCTTTTATTGCCAGGTATTTCCACTGTGTGCAGACTAACCGACCACTTTGTTTCCAGGACAAAATTAAAAAGAGCAAAACAACATCAGTCCATGTTTAAAATAAGTGTCCTGTTTGCGGTAAATATAACACAAATATAGCCTAACTAAGACAAACAAACACAAGGTAACATCTTATCTATGGTGACGTGTCCCAGTAGCTGTTACCTGTTGCTACATCACAGTGATTTAACTTTCTTTAAGATGATGTTTAAAGCTCATAAAGTGACACTTTACTTCATTTTAATGATCAAAATTCATATTTTTTAGTAACGAGCGAAGCTGACGGTGGACGGTTTCATTCATTTTACGAGAGAAAGAGAAAATAGATACAAACTAGCCTACTTTCAAAACCATGAGTCAAATCATTCTTTGAACTTCCATATGTTGAAGTTATCAAAGTGTTGTTACAGACTAACATCTGCTGGAGGAGCTCTGAGACTGTGCCACGTCAATAAGTTCGTCTGTGTGTAAAAACTGTTTTATCAGCCCAAGTGAGACGAGGAGAAAAACGTCCTCCAACAAAGAAAGAAATGCACTCACCGATGGATACTAATCCACAGGGGAAAGCCAGGAGGAAAAGCAGCAACAATTTTGGTCCGAAATTGAACATTTTGTCAGAGTTAACACTGGAGTTAGTAACACATCAGCGTTCAGGAGAAAAGAGGGCAGAAGCGGAGCAAGGGGCGGGAGAAGAGGGACAAGGACCGCCCCGTAGTAGGTAGCCTATGTCTGGGCAGGTCCGACGGATTTAAAGTCCCAGGAGGTGTTACCGGGGAGTGGGGGGGGGGTTACACTTAGTCGTTACACTTACTACACATTATAGACGTATGATAGCTGGTAAAGGTTCCCATTTAGACTTATTATTTAGTGCTAACGAATACTTTTAGGCGAATACCCGGAGGACAAAGTCTGCTGCTTTTGCTCACAGGTGGAGGACTGAAGCTCTCTCGTCACGCCCCCTCGGCTCATGCAAAGATTAAGATTTACCTTTATTTCAGTTTTTACACTCTGTAAGTCATGCAACACACACATAGGCTGAAATATACACACACATGCACAAACAGGATCCTATGGACATGCACTAACGCAGAGCTGTCAGAGTGACGTCACAGCGGGCGCTCCTGAGCTGGTGGAGGGGAGCGGGCTCAGGAGGTGATCTGGCACCTCTCCAGCTACCAGACCAACTTCCATATTTGGTCCGCACCAGGACTTGAGCCAGTGACCCTCCGGTTCCCAACCCAAGTCCCTACAGACTGAGATACTGCCACCCAGACATTTACAAAGGTAAGTAGCCTACAGTAGGCTACCATAGACTGTAAATTGGCCTACATACAGGGTGTCAAAAAAAATACGAAATCGCAAATTATTTTAAAATGGAGTAAATAGTAGGCTAAGTGAGTCAGTTTGTTCCAAATAACTACGAATTTATTTAGCCATCCATGTAGTGTAGTATGAATATTATTTCTTAAAAGTGATTGTTGTGTCCTTTGCTTTAAGTTTGTTTATTTAAGGAAACATGCAAGGACATTATCATTTGAAACTGCGTCAGAGATACGTTTTAGCGAATATTATCTAGGTAGAGAAATGTATGGTTTGCAGACTTTGTTTGTTTCTATTAATTTTGTAAAGAAAGGTGACAGCTGATCAAGAATATGCTTTTGTTTTGTTTTTGCTATGCAAAGGATATGATGAAGAGGGAGGCGGTTTGAGTTGCAGGGGATCCCCACCCTGGATTCTTCAGCCAATTCTGCCAGCTGGATCATTCTCACAAAACCAGTGATCTACTTTTCTTTATTTTTAATTAAAAACATTTTTTAAAGCCAACTTTTAAAATAAATTAAACTTAGACAATGAGTAGGATTATGTTTTGGTCTTTTCTGAACAGTGTGTAATTTATTAATTTTCAAATCCCACACAGGTGTTCAAAGAATCAATAAGTATGATAACAGGTCAAGAAGTCACCCTACCCAAATGTGTTCTACAAATTTAACAGAGTAGTGAAGCTGTCAATCAAAGAAACTTGTCCACACCCACATATTCCTGAGAACAGGTCTAATCATGGTAATCACTGTGTGTGTGTGTGTGTGTGTGTGTGTGTGTGTGTGTGTGTGTGTGTGTGTGTGTGTGTGTGTGTGTGTGGGGGGTGTCTTGACAGAGCCTTCTATACATTTTTTAGCTGAAATTCTTATAACTGCAATGCTTACAATCATTTAAATTGATCTCTCTTTTGCATTTCAGATTTAGTTAACTAAAACTTTGTTACTAAAACAAAATGCATATCGTCATACCTGTAAGTATATGCCCTGTGCACACTCACAGCACTGTTAATCCTTATAAATTGGTGCAGGCAATGGCAGGAAACATAATTCGCTTGACAGAAAATGGATTCACCGCACGAGAAGGCTGACATTTCTTCTTTTTATGACACAGACATATTAGAGATTTGATGGACTGATGCGCCAAAGTTAGGCTGATGAAAAAAATTAGGTATACAAAGAGGTTAAGAACTAGGTTTTAGGCACAACTTGTGAAAATTAGTAATTTGGTCATTGTTGGCTCTATTATTCCTGAGGAAGTCTGCATTTTTAAGCTCTCAATTTTAAAAGCAAGTATCCAAAGTTCCAGGCTGAAGCTGAGGTTTACCATGTCTAGCCATGCAGAGAGAGAGACAAAGACAGAAACAGAGAGATAGGTACTTTCCAATCCATGATGTCGTCAAGATAAAGAAAAAGTTAATCAACACTATCCTTCATTGAACGTTAGAGGAGCTACCATGATTTTTTTTTTACCTCACACTGAAGAAAGGTCATTGTCACTGTTTCACCAAGCAGCTCACAGCCAAAGTTAAAGTTGTATAACAAGATCTGTAAACCAGGGATAACATAAAATGTATTATTGAATTGAAGTGATCAGTTTGGACGTCATTTTCAATTTGACACACAAATTCCTGACAGTGAAAAGGGAACGTCACCGTTTACCTTTGTTTTGTCTATTGATAATATCTGACATTGAAACACATCTTGGTTTTTCAATTTGAAATGTTCCTTTTTTTGTATTCTTAAAGCTACTGAAAGGAAATATCTTCATGATCTCAGTGAAAACTGGTCGCATTAATTCAACAAAATGTGTGATCTTTGCCAATACTGCCTAATCTTGTCACTTTAGTGTCAGAGAAATTCACACTGCCTGCTTCCTTGTTGCTGTTTCTGAAAAGGTTTGTGGTTTTCTGCATGAAGGCACATCCTGTAGGGTGTAAGCAATTCTTAAAGAACAACAGCCTTGTCTCTTTGCATCACAAAGTATGAGCAGAAACGTGTAACAGGCTGTGTTCTGGTTTATCATATCAACTGTATAGAAAGAGAAAGAGCTTCACTGACATGGCAGACTGTTGTAATGCTACAACCAGTGGTAAGTCACTGCAGATATAGGATCTAAATGTGAGGGTTGATGATTATGAATGTGATTATTGTTGACGTGTGGGGTTGATGTGAGATGGAAAAGGCATTCATGAAATTCGCTTTTAAGAGATATCACATGCTCAGTAATTATGATTAAGAGTAACCCTTTAATCACTGACAGGATGAAAGAGTCTGACTTATCACAGCTGCTCAAATATAACGCTGAGCAAATTTATAATCCAAGTACTATTTCGACACAGGTTTAAAAGATGATTGAAGAGCTGAGTCCACAAACTAAAACTGAGTCAAGAGTTAATGTAAGTTAATATACTCAGATTCTTGGTCAGTTAATCGTCTACTTTTGTAACTAACTCTGTTAAAACAACAGAGTACAGTTAGGATATCAGAAACCAATGGTAATTTAGTGATTTGTTGTAAAAACTAGCTATTGGATATTTTTGATTATTCGTTTAAGATCACTGTTGGAAAATGGAGCCTCTTATAGTGAGCTCTACGGTTATTTTTTTATGGTGTTTAGATTTTGAAGTTTATACAATTTTATTTTCAAACTCAGTTAACAGCAGTTTTGACCAAAAGGAGGAATGAAAAGCATTTATTAACCCCTTCTGTCTTCACTAATTATATCCACTTTGGCTACTAACATTAATGTAACTTATTGATGCAATATTTGTTTTAGTCTTTTTTACTTGCATAATCTTCGAAGCTTAATTCTTCATGAACTCAAACATAAGATGTATGTTCAAGGTCACAATTTTAAGTACTAACAAAGGAAATGTACTTGATTATGAGAGCAAGAGTACCAGCAACTTGTTAAAACTCTGTGTAAATAAATGTAGTTGAATATAATAAATTATTGCAATCAGATTTATTTTCTTTATTTTATTGAATGAGTGAGTGAGTGAGTAAGGGTCTGAATTCATCAGTAGATTCGATGGTACAACATAAATAATAATCATGGTTTCATAAGAAACATTTAATTGATAGACACAACTACCACCTTCATGCAATCAGATTTCAATGGGGACCCATGCCACCCCTGGCCACAACTCGGGGTCACAGCCCTGTGTACAGAATAAATGTAGGAATACATTTATACATTTAATTATAATGCTTAAAAACATGTGTGAACGAGGCCAAAAGACAAATATATCCATGGGCCAAATTTGTCCAACTAGTTTGTGTGGACAGCGAACTGATTTAAAAAATAAATAAATAAACAGGACTGCGCAAGAGTGTGACTTTTCCATTTTCTTTTGAGGAACATACAAATTAAGGAAGTGCAAAGGTCCAATTTAATCCTGAAGAATTCTTAATTACTATTATTTTATTTTTTTAACAAGTAAACATCTGCAGCTGAATTCTTATTCTCCATGCATTGTTGCAATCGTCATGTAATGTTTACAATCTGTGACAACTCTTGAACCTTTGTAACTGATACAAAAGTCATTACTAACCACAACTATTAAAACTCGTTTGTAATGCTGCCATGGTAACAATGAGATATAATTTATTCCTTTCCCAAACTCTCAGATGAAACTGCCACTAAATAATTACAGTGAGTGAAGCACACTTACTGTAGAGGCATGTTTGGCATCATGTTGTGTGTATTTTAAGGTGCTGCTACTTCCTGAAGGTGATCTGCAATTTCTCAGACAGAAGGCGTTTCACATTGTGATGACCACTACTACTGTGGATGTATTTTATTATCTTGGTGGTAGTCATAATGAATTGGAGATGCTTCTCACTCTGGTATAGCATATACAAAATAGTCATTCCTAAACCTTTGTGCTGTATATATACTCTGTTTTTTTCTTGTAAACAAGACACAAACAAGTGAAATGTTGATATTTGTACAAGCGGTGCAAGAGCACTGAATTCTGCTGAAAATGTATTGAATGCCAAACTATAAGATATATTTTTTTCCATTTGATGTCTTGTAGTAAACTCTGACTGGGTAGATTGAGTGTTGTACTGTAATGCAGTGAAGTCAGGGTAGCCCACACTTATTTGGTCTCAATTAGGCTTTGTATACATTTTAAAAGAGGAAATGCATCCAATGGTTTGCTGATGAATTTTTGTTTGCAACATAAATAGACTCTACTGTGCACAGAGTGAGTTTGCATGTGCATGACTGCAGTAAAACCACATCTTGTTCTGCAGAAAACTGAGCAAAGCAGCAGAGCAAATCTGTTTGTCCGATTTACTTTCTTCACAAACTTTTCACTTAGCTTAGTATTTTAAGATGTATCAGGGTCTTT